GACAGCTCGAGAGATGAGAATGGCCTGTGACATTCTGCTGCAGAGGTAAACACCAGAGTTACGTAACTCCTGGAATTAATGATTGGATGGCTGAATGAATGGTTGTTGGAAAAATAAGTGTTTGATAGATGAATGAATGAATTAGCAATAGTGTGAGAAATCTGCATTGAAATAACTCACAAATAGGAAGATGTGGAGTAATAAAGGAAAGCTAGAACAATGAATTAACTTGTGAATGAGGGAATGAATCTGGTGAAAACCTTCATGCTGGGAGATTTTAAATCTTCTGCTTCTTTATGGTGAATGGAAAAATAGAGGGAAGTAAGGATGGGCTGTGTGTCTTGCTCATTGCTTTGCTACCGGGGAGAGATGAAAGAGAGACGAAGGAGCCTTTGTCTTTCACAAGAATAGAATGGAGCAGGTGAAGGAGAAGAAAATGGGGTCATGGAATTACTTAACAGCTGATATGTTGTGCAATCTTAGCATATAGGAAGCAGAGGGGGCTGAGAATGTGTCAGCATTTTATTGCACAGAGGGGACAAAGAAGGCAGTTGTCCTAGTGTTAAAGCATTTTTCACATTAGAGCTTCATTAAGCAAATCCATGACTTTAATAGGACTGACAAGTGCATTCATAATTGATGAAAAATTATTAAATTAAATGTGAAACAACTGGAAAGTTCTTTGTATCAGTTCAAAAACTAGGGATCATATCCTCCTGTTTCTGTCACATGAATCTGGAGAAGTGCTGCCACAACTGGCAAAATAATTGATTAGTTGTCTGACGGATCTGTGTAAGACAAAACACCAACGCTTTTCTGGTTCCAGGTACTCAAATGTGAGGATTTGCTGAGGAGAGAGACTTTAATTCAGTTTTGTTTTGTATTCTTGGTCAAAACAAGACATTTGTAATGTCACCTTGTGGGAAAGTTATAATGAGCTTTTCTGGGTTAACAGCTTGATTGTTGTATATTTTATTGACTAAAAAATTTTAATTATCATTGTTGATGAAAATAATCCTTGGTTGCACCCTATTTTAAACTTGTGTGTGTTTGTGTGTGTAACGGGTTGTTAAGATCTTGTATCTCAGTGACGGGAACTTTTATTAACTGTGATATCTGAAGCACACACATTGTTTATTTATATAGCTCGTAAAGTCACACACATACTAACTGTGCTGACAAATATAACAGTTTTAGTACAAGCTATCAGCAGTCATCTATCTCCTCCTTCTGACTCTGCAGAAAGAATCATGAATTAAAGGGGGGGGAGGGGGGAAGAGATGAGGCTGCAGAAGATTTGTTGAGTCACTTAAACAAAATAGATCATTAATCTCAGAAGACCAAATGTCTGCAGGATAATTAATAGAAAACAGATGAACCAACACTGGAGTGCACAGCAGCTGATGTAAACAAACCAGTGAGCAAGTATCCAGACAGAAAACTAAACACACATCTTACATGGCTCTCACAGCCCCGTGCTCCAGTTGTTTGAATGTAAACGTGTTGTAAGAGTGTGTGGCAGTTTCTCAGCCATCACATTAAGGATGAAGGACTTAGTATCAACATTTAATGATTTAGAGAAGAGCTGTTTATGACATGCAAAATGATGCCCAGGATTTCTGTGCGTGTGCTAGTGTTAGTGTTTCTATGAATTGCAATGGGTTTGTCTGTGTTGTAGTGTGTGTCTGAGGGACCAAGGGATTAACAGAAGCAAAGAGTGTCGTATATTGTTATATATAATATTTATCTTCTTATATACACATATGTTTATCAGACTGGGGTGTTTGTGTGCGTGCTGCGTAGACTGCAGTATTCTTTACCTCCCAGGCAGAACACAGCAGAGTCAGGTTTGCTGACAACAGCACCTCTGCAGAATCACCAACCTCAACCTCAAACTCACCTATCTTCCACACACACGCTCGCACACACACACACACACACACACGCACACACACACTGTATGTTTTTGTTGCAGCAGACACAAACAGTCACTCTTAGATGATTGTTTGTTATGTCATACGTATTCGGAGGCCAAAGCAACACCTTGACCTCTCTTTCCATCTATGCATGATCATTTCGGGGTTGTGACAGGCTGAATTATCCTGCTGGGGAAGGCCACTGATACCATTGTGATAAAGGGGGGTACTTTACTACATGTGACCTTAATGAGGGCCACACTGCCTCCACTGGCTTGTCCCCTACCGACATCTTAACATTTCTAGAGATCAAATTTACTGGACGACTGTTATATTAGACTGAATTAGTTATAGCTAGGTGTCTAATAAACTGCCGACTCAATATATTACACAGTGCAAACACAATTATTAAATGAGATTTTATAAATGTTTTTTATTCATAAAATTGAAATCGTAAATGTATTACTCAGCTGTCAGGTGATGCTAATAGCAAACTAATAATGATTTATATGTTTCATCTCGTATCAATGCACAGGGCGGCTGTATTAATTTGTGGGGCTCATGAACTGAGGCATTAGTTATCAGTCATCACTTGCTAAATAAAACTTGACCAACCGTCAGCAGCTGTGACATTATAAAAACTAATAGCAGTCTACTTTGGTCACCATCAAAGATTTCCAAGTATCACTCAACACATCTAGCTAAAGGTGTGACCCCTCCCAAAGAGAGCAGGAGCTGAGCTACTTTTTTGAGAACGTCTGAAAGCCAAACCTGTATTTGCCAACCAGTGCTCCCTTGGCACCCTTGTACATGTGGCAGCTTTAATCATTTTTATTTATTTATTTGAATGTCATAAAATGTTTGGCACACACTGTGTTGTTGATAAGCAAAGTGGAATATATTGGCTATGTATCCAACATGGATTTTGGTTGAAGTCACTGATCTTCATTGTTAGTTATATTAAATACATTTTACAGAGTTTTTAGAAAAAAGCATTGTTCGTCATAAGAGTAAACACTTGGAAACTGATGTGTTGTTTTCCTGAACCAAAAGTGCAGAGTAAGACAGTGTTCCCCTCGGCCCTGACGCATGTTTGCTGGTATGTTTGCTCCACTGCTCGATTAGTTCAGGAAACATTCCATCAAGAGAGATTATAAAACCCTTTTTAAAAACCAGGGACCCAGAATTTTCCATGATCTCATTTGTCCTCAGGGAAGAAATATATTATCCTAAAGGGCTCGATAAAGCGTGTCCTCTGTGGTCCTTATGGTCTTTACTGACACTGACAGAGATGCTATCATTGCTGCTTAGGGAGCTGGAGGAGGGCAAGAACACCCCAAAGGGCCCGACAGTGTTTTTAGTTCAAGTCCTTGGGGGCTAAAATGGAGTAAGATCAGATATTATCGTTGCTACTTAAGGCCCATGCAGATTATGTAACTTCCTTGAGGGTCCTATCAAGGATCCATTGTTAATAATACAGCCACAGAGAGTGGTCCCTTATTCAACTCAGCAGGCGATCCCGCTGTCAGATTTTATCTGTGCCTTCGAGGAGACAGCCTCTGCTGTAGGGAGCCTGTGGGGTGTGTTACTGTTTAGAGCACAGTTCTCCATGCTGACTAACATGAAAAGAAAGCAGACGAGGAGCTTAAATGACAAAGAGTCCAACGTTAACGCAGTCTGAATAATCACTGATTCAAAAATATATGTAAGATGATGGAAAGAAAGAAATGAAATACTGTAGATGCTATTTCAACATATTCATATTCAACATATTCGACTGGAGAGGGAAAGAGAACAGAAGAAACACTACAATACAACTAACTCTCTTTTTTCACTCTCTCTCACACACACACACACACACACACACACACACACACAGACACACACACACGACACGAATGATCAAGCAATAACAGCATCGGAAAGGGAACGTGAGGTGCTTCTTACATTCAAAGTCAGTAACAAGTGAGGGAGAACAAGAGGAGTTTAAAAGAGGAAAGAAAAATGAGAGAGAAGATAGAGAAGGGAGAGCTTGAGGAAAAACAAAGAAGTAGAGGATTATATGAATATGTAAATATTTTCATACCACTGGTGATGAGATGGAATAAGAGGAAGGAAGGCGAATCAAATCCAAACAAGTCATGATGGAAGGACAGTATGATGTGAAGAGTAACAAAAAAAGAGCTGAAGAGCAGTTGAAGGATGATGGCAGTGATAGACAGAAACAAGTGAGGGAATATGAATAAAGGATAGATAAAGAAGAATACAGATGAAGGGCGATATCTTTTCTGCCATTAATAATTCAGTCTGTATTGATCGACCTGTAGACTTTTTGCAGCATTAGGAGCAAATGTGTGTGTGGTTGTGTTAAAGAGCAAACACACACCCATGCACACATAAAGCTTGCATAACCTCAGTTGTTTTTCAGATGAGATGAATTTGACCGCTGAGTCTCACACATGCACAAACAGGCAGTGTTATATAAATTTGGATTCCTGGCGTGCCGCTGTCACCGTCACAGAGTGTATAAGGACAGCAGTCGTTCCGCTGAATCCCTGAGCACATCCTGACATTCTCTTTGTATCACTCACACACACACACAGTTCCTTGCTTATGTCATGTTAAATATGTTATGACACCCACGCTTCTATCTGATCAGCACGGTTTAGCGGAGCCCTGTAGCCTAAATAGCAATTTACCCACCCAGAGTGGCGCCACTGACAAACTTTGTGTGTGTGTGTGTGTGTGTGTGTGTGTGTGTGTGTGTGTGTGTGTGTGTGTGTGTGTGTGTGTGTGTGTGTGTGTGTGTGTGTTTCATCTCTACAACACTTGATCTACAAGTTCTCTCTAACAGTGTACACAGAAACATTCCTGGTGAACATCATTATTTTCATTTTCCTTCCGTTTTGGCTCTTGCTGACGCCCTCCAAGGTCATTTCATGTGACTATAGGAGGAGAGTTGAGGGAAACACAATGTTCTAACCATGTTATCCTTATCCTCTCTCTCTCTTTGTCTTTCACTTTCTTTCTTTCTTTCTTTCTTTCTTTCTTTCTTTCTTTCTTTCTTTCTTTCTTTCTCTACAGCTCCCACCTCTCCCCTATATCCATCCTGCCTGCTGACTCTGCTGAGTAAGTACACACGCACAAGGTCATTTTATCTAACAGACGTAGGCACTTCTTTATGGATACCTGAGAAATCTGACAAATAATATTTGTGAAACTAACTGGAATACAAATCTGAAAGCAAGTTGTAATATCCTGGGATTCTTATCAGGACCAGGGTTATTATAGTTAACGAAAACTAAGACTAAAACTAGCAATGAAAAAATAATTTAGTTAACTGAAATAAAAACGACAATTACAAAAAAAAACGAAAACTAAATAAAAACTACAATGAACAATGCAAAACTAACTAAAACTAAACTGAATTGCAGATAAATTCTGTTTCGTTTTCGTTTTCATATGTGTGACACCATATTTGGTGTCACACATTGTTTCATCCTTTTTCAGCTTCTACAAGTCAAGGCTTTCTCTTAATACCTGGAAAAACTAAAACTAAGACTAAAACTAAATAAAAACTAAACTGAAACAAGTCGGTTCCTCAAAATAAAAACTAAACTAAAACAACGAAATCACTTGTTGAACTAAAACTAAACTGAAATAAAAAAGCAAACTGAAAAACTAAATAAAAATAAAAACTAATGAAAATTTCCAAACTATAATAACCCTGATCAGGACTATAGTAGAAAAAGGGTTAGGGTTATAAATGAGCGGTAAAAGAAACTAAGGTTAACTGACGTGTGAAGAGGGAGTAAAGGACTCAAGAGGCAGATAAAACAACCGCAATGAAGAGGGAAGTGCAGGCAGTGCTTTGAGGAGATGTGTTGACACAAAAGTTAGAGCTTAAGAGGAAGTAATAAGAAGGAAAGCTAACCTTTTGTTTTTATAATGAAGCTAAACTGAAGCGTGTTACATGGCTTGGTGCTTTCACAGCCCCAGGGACATGAACTCAGCAATCACATGACTTTGAGCTTTCAGTCTGTTAAGAGGCAATGTGTAAGAATTGGCTTCCTGGAAAATGAATGCTACAAACTAAATAGGCATATTACCTCAAAGCTTGGGTTTCCGGCTTTATTATGAGAACTAAAGAAATGCTTCCCCTGTGCTGTAGTTGGACTGAGCATCAGGTGCCCCAGGACAAATAAGTAGGCTGGTGGACTGAAGTCTTCAGGAAAGTGGAGGGAGGTCACAGGTTTACAGCCTCTTCACAGTTACTACTCTCATGTTGAACTAAGATAAGATAAGATGTACCTTCATCCCTCGTGGGGGAAATTCAGTTTGACACAACAGCACAAAAAGTAGAAGCACAATAGTAAGAATAAAATTACTGAAGAAACAGAAGAACGTAAATGCAACTATGGGTTAATGTTATTATGTGATTGTTATTTTTGGTCTTTTTGATTGCAGTAAAATGCTAATCATAACGTTGTATAGGTTAATCTGTCCAATCTGGGTGTTGTGTGTGTTTTGTGTATAAGTACGTGTGGCTGCCTGAGTGTGTGATGGATGGTTATTGTTAGTGGAGCCTCTTGCAACAAGAGGCAGAGATGCTGCTGCTGGTGGAAGTGGGCATGTGGTCCAGGGAAATGTGTGTCTGTCTGATATATCCACAGCCCACACACATTTATTTGACCTGCACCTTCAGCACCTTTATGAGGTTTTGCCTGAAATGCACATCGTTATAAAACAAAGACACAGTTATGTTCCAGCTCCAGGTTTCCCATTTAAAATCCTGTAACTCTGTGAGTAACTATATACCACACACTGGCATCAAGGCCAATTTAATTAAAGAGTAGAGGTGTTATTTCAGTCAGATATACAGAAAACAGTTGGGGGGGACATAAATTAAACCTGATGAAGAACAGTACATCAGGTGAACAGTTGGTGTGGAGGCGTCGGTGAGAGTCTTCAACCTTGACTGTCGTCAAAGCTGGAGGAGAGAAAAATCTCACATGTAAGAAGTGAGTGAATGATGAAGGAATTCAAGATGATGACACGCACAGATGTGATCCAGTAAATAAAGCAAACTAAATCAAATCTGACTTCATCCTGTGGATCAACTGTTTCCAGACAGTGTAGCAGAGGTCAGAGTGTGGCTGCTGTTTCTACCTTTTATAGACTGTAACGTCCCCTCCTTCCTCCTGCCCACCTCTACTTTAATCATTACTAACCCTTTTAGTAGACGACTTAATAAGGACACGTTAAATATCCCAGAATGGAAAAGAAACCATTTGAGTTATTATTAGACTCGAAATCTTTAATACATTATTGACCTTTAGTTTAATCTCAGCTCATGTGTAAAACCTTAATGGACAAAAACCCCAGTATCCCCTTATTTGACAAGGAGCCAACCACATCCTTTTGTCATTTAAAGCTTCAGCCATTTCTCTATTAGGTCTTTATTCATTAATATAGAGGATGATGTCAGATGGGATTATCTCAGGAGGAATATATGAGATGAAGTTTTTAACCTGCACAACGTTTTTGATGTTTTTCTCAAACCTCACTCTGAAATCAATAAATCATGTAGGGAAAGTTCAGCCACTGGATATTTAGTAGAATTTTAGTGTTTAAGTGACCTTTTTTTTCCTGATCAGCTGTGGGGAGTTTTATCTGTTTTTTTGTGGGGTGTTTTGTTCCTTAATATGTATTATGTGATACAAATTGAATGCATGTTCACTTACCAAACACAGAAATAAATTAAGTACCCATAGTAATCTTAGAAAATCAATTAATCAATCATGTATTTTGTGTGTGTTTTCCCAGGATAATTCAGCGAACCATCAGGGCTGCAGTGGAGCAGCATTTCCTTGAGCTGAAAACCTCCATCGACCACAGCCTCAGCAACTATGACAGCCAGGGGTGAGAGTGCACACACTGAAATACACAATACAATATTGACACACACACACACACACACACATAAAAAACAAAAGCACTTCAATCAAGTATAAGCACCTTTAGCAAAACTTCATTGCACCTGGTGACAGAAACATGTTACACACATTCCTCAGGAGCCGAAAGAGGCATCATATGACTTTAAAGAAAAATATTTGACATAGTGAACATTGTGGACGAAGGCTCTGAGCCAACCAGATAGCTGGAGTTACCAGTAAACATGTTGTCAGCAGTGATGTTAGTAAGCAAAGTTCATGTGTTGAGGGGAGCAGCTGTTCCGTGACCGTCACCTCCGAGACAAAACAAGACCTCGAGGAGTTCGAAGGTTTTCAACATCGAGGAGACGTGGCACCATAAAGGTTTTACACTGCGTGCTAAAATAGGCAGCTTCATCACAACCTGCATAGCAAATGTCTGAAGTGTCTGAAAATATTTGAGTAAAGTTAAGTAAACTTTAGTGGCATCTCAGCTCATATTCGATTCTGGTAAAAAGAATAATCCCGTGCTACTTCTCCAAGTGACAAATTGTGCATATTGTGTGTTTACGTTATTATCTGGTATTTAACATTTGGGTCGTTTCATGATTTCATTAACTTTCTGAATTTTATTTTTCAGGATGAGTCCCAGTGAGCCTTCAGATGAGGGTTGCCATGGAGATGGGGAGCAACAAACGGACCCCGGGGAACGTCCCTGTGATGCCAAAGGGGAGACCCCACTCACAGATACTGAGCAACAAATGCAACAAAGCCAGACACACACACAGGTCTGTGGGGAACAAGCAAACACACACATATACACATACGGTATCTTTAACACACATATATCAGTATGTGCACAAACAGGGTTTAAGCCAGGAGTGTATCAAGGGACTTTAAGGACCCCAGGTAAAAGGGAAACACATGATACAGGATACTCGATAGACATTTTAATAACTAAAAAAGTTAGTGGTGTGGGGACCTCGTTCCAACCATGGTGTCGTTGCAAAGCAATGCAAGGAGGTTCTCACAGAATTGTTGTTAAGGGAATTAGCCCTCTCTCTTGCAATGCCCATAGTTTTAGTTTTTATCCTATGAGACATTAAATATACACACAAACAGAATCCGCACAGAATTAGCAGTGTTTTAACACAGATACTCAGTATAAGTGTTAATTAAATTATGGTAAAAGCATAACTGGGTTCCCCTGTGAGCAGAAATTGAAAGTAAAAACATTTGACATTTCACTCCATTGAGGTCTCTCTAAAAAAAAAAAAACAGCTGAGCTCAGACCCAGAGTTGCTGTGTCGGCTGGCAGCATATTTCCCTTAACTGAACTCCTTCCTGTCTCTGTGTGTTGGTTAATTCCAAGGCTGAATGTTTGATATTATCAGCACAGTCCATCTTTGTTCTGCTCTGATTTGATGCAATAGCACAGACTGTACCGGGGTAGCACGCTGGCTGTTGGCCTGTTTCAAACGCACGCAGATCATCACTGATACACCCTGAGCAGGCTGTATTCTGTTCTAGCTAATATACAGTCAGAAGGCCAGGACCAACGGCCAGTGTATTTTTGAATAGAAGCTCTGCGAGATTTATTTATGTAGCATATTTTATACTCAGGACAAGCACAAAATAAAAAAACAATTACGTAAACACATGTAAAAACATGATAGAAATGAAAATGATGTAAACGACAATGGTGTAAACACATGTGCAGTACCAGGCACACTTCATGTTAACAAGGAAAAGCTGCCTCCATTACTAATTGACCTAAAACCTATTTGACCAGTCTACTGATGATGAGGAAGTGAAACAATACACACAAAATGATGAGGTTTATGCTAGAGCCCTAATTCAACAGTTTTGCTTCTTTCCCTGCTTTGTTAGTTTTGATTTCCTCTTACAAGAAGATTAAGTTTAAATTCCAGCTGTTGATTTCTCCCAGGATTCACTGGACTCCGACACCTCCCCGGTGAAAAGCTTGGGAATGGACATGGATGCAGACGCTGTCAGAGATGCTGAGAACAACATCAACACTGCCAGGTGAGCTACGGAAACTGATTTAGAGTCTAACTCAACGGAGAACAAGCAGGTTAATCAGAGGGAGACTTTATATATATATATATATATATATTAGTTTAGAACCTCAAGGATCATATGGATTAAAGTTAGACTTGATCTGGATGAGGTATGTAGATGAGTTATTATGTAGTGATCCTTGCAGCGATCACGCACTGATCACTTGACACATCACGTTCATTTTTCACTTGGACACGCTGCCTCAGCCTGGACGCATTTTATGCTGCATTTGACACAGATCTTTATTTACTCCATCTCTCTCACATGTAACACATTAACTCGTCCTGCATGGTCATGTGGTTTGACACATAGCCTGTTATTCCAGCGTTTCCGACAGGTCAGGAAATTAGTCGAGGTGGTGGGTGGTGCGGACAGTGACCGATGGGGAGGGGAGGAGTTTAACTCTGATTATTTTCTGCATTATACCAAAGATGTAACCAGTGATTTTCTGTAAGTGGGCCCAAGTCGAGCCTGTGCACAGGTTCACACAGCAAGTGCTTTAATCCTGTTTCAAACGTGACAACACAGGATAAAGATGTTTGCAGTTGAATCCTCCAAGACTTTAGTTCTTCGATATCTGGGCAAAGATATTATAAAAAGTTTGTCCCCTGAGAATCACAAATTGTGTAAATACAAATGTCATTATGACTGTGTGTCTGTTTTTGTTAGAAGTTGTAGTATTCTGTTGACGACATTAAAACATGTTGTGTTTTTTATCTGTGATGTCAGGCAGGACAATCAACCCTGTGACTCCATGGACCAGACTGACACTGTAACCTGTGTAAGTTTTCATTTTTATCAGTCCCTCTATAATCTGGAGACACATTTTCATTCCTCTACCGACTGTACCTTCCTCCATTATTCCTCTTTTCTTCTCTTCTACTTAAATGTTCTCTCTCTCTCTCTCTCTCCTCTGTCCACACCCTTATTATCTTCAGTTAATTGCATTTATTTTCTTCCTTCCCTCCGTCCTTGATTTGTTTCTGTAATCCCTTAATGTTCCTTCTCTCTTTCCCAGCAGGACCTGAGCTCGTGCCGCTGTGATCAGAACGCCAACACCAGCGAGACCAACAGGAACCACCTGTCGTCATGCCAACAAAACTCTGGCCTCAACCCCCACCTCCAACTCTTTCCTGACAACCAATGGGAAGGTAGGGATCTCTTTGTCTCAGCAAGACCAGCACACTCTGTATTCACACAAAAAACAAGTATAAAACAGAAATGATCATATCAATCTGTGACAAGGAACTTGTTTAAGCTGCTTTTTTGATCGAACAAATCCAGAATTATTGTCTGAACGTGGTAAAAAAACTGACCGTCACATCTTCAAACTGATGGTTGTGTCCAATAGATTTGACTTTTTGATTTGTTCCCCCTAAAGTACTAAATCAGGTCAACTTTACTGACTAGAAAGAAAACATTGTGAGCTGCTATTCTCCTTCACTTCTCTGCCACTCTGTTGAATCTCTCGTGGGACTGAGGAAAAAATGTGACCTAATTTGTTTGCATTTATACCACACACACACACACACACACACACACACACACACACACTCTCTCACACACACACACACACACACACACACACACACACACACACACACTGAATGGAAGTTGGTGAGTGAAGTTGTCAGGAATGATTGACCTCACCACTCTTCTTCTCTGCTGCCTCTCTCTCTCTCTCTCTCTCTCTCTCTCTCTCTCTCCCTCTCTCTCTCCTCCTCTGTCTTCTTCATCTTCTTCCTCCCCTCTTCCACCTTCTTGTCTTCCTTCCAACAGCATCCACCCCCTCCCATCTCCATCTCCCTCCCATAGATTTCTCATGTATGCATCTACAGAGAGAAGGCCAAGGTGAGTAGTTTCACATCTACCCAACCCCCCAGCAGTCTCCGCATCCCTCCTGTCATTCTTTCTTGTTTTTTTTAACGATGCTTGTTTACTGGTTTGGACAGTCTGTCAATATACTCTCATAGTTTTAAATGTACTTGTGAGATGTTGATGATGGATAAATCCCTGCATGTAATCCACTCTTCTCCCTTCAGATTTTACTTACTGACTTGTTGAACTCCCCTCCTGCCGCAGGACCACTGTGCAGATTGATCAGGACATGTTTCCTCTCTGAAAACATTTAACCCCCCCCGCCTCTCTGTGCCTCACCCCTGTCTCGTTATTCTGACTCTCCTTCCTCTCTCTGTCTCCTCGACTCAGCTCGTTAGCATAGCTCTGACATTAGTTAGATGACTCAGCAGGGTGCTAAAGAAGAAAAATAATGTTGGTGAATGTCTCATGTCAGACGCTCCCTCCCAGGCTGCTCTTACTGATGTGAACACCTCCTGCTTTACATGCAACACTCTTTAAAGTCAGGGATTTAATTACACTTTTCTCTCCCTTCTACGCTGAGCTTCGTAGACTTTCTCTGACCTCCCTCTATTTCTGTCCTCGTCTCTCCAGACCCCATCCCGGCTTACAAATCCTGGCAGGATGAGAACGAGAGCGGAGAAGCACAGCTCTCCCCGTTGGCTGGTCGCATGGTTCCTCTCCCCCCACTGCTCCTGGAGGAGGATGGTGAGGACGAGGAAGAGGGGGAGGGAGGGCAGGACGCCTCCCCTTCCTCTTCCCGCTCCCACCCTCACCTTCTTGCTCGACGCTTTCTCGACTTCGGTGCGCACAGTGCTCAACGCTTCCTCCAGCAAGACCCAGACGCCACCTCGCCCACCAAAGCACAGAGGTACGATGAGGCACTAAACGATGAGGCACTAAACCTCCGGCAGCGCTTCGAGATTCTGTTTCTGTTATTTTCTTCAGTCAGAGCATGAATGTATGAATGTTTGTGGTCTAATCACATCCGTGTGTCTCTCAGACCACGTCGAGCATCCTTCGGCTCCAAAGAGGCGATGAGAGGAGGAGATTCCGTGACCCACCAACTCACCAAGAAGCTACAACACCTGAAGAAGAAAATCAAGCAGTTTGAAGAGCAGTTTGAGAAAGAGAGGAACTACAAGGTAAAAATATACTTTTGAAATCATGACGTGATTACAACTTGAATACATGACCTCATCCGTGAACACGATTTGCATCAGGTAGTTTTTCATCGGCATTGGTGGTGAAGACAACAACTCCCATGATCCCACGCTGCTTCACGACATCATCACTCTTGGTCTTTTGGAATTGTTTTCATTGAGAGACCCCTAGAGGCCGAAATTACACATTGTATGTTTAAGTACTAATTTTCAAAAAGCCTGAATGAAACAACCACAACATCTTACACACTGTCAACAACTTCTACTTTATTCAGGACATTTCTGGCTGCATCAGATCTACACAGACAGAAATCTTGATAATTCAAGTCTTTCAAAATTTTGTGTAAAACACAAGCGAACGGTTCTGACCTTTCCAACTAAATACCAACTCTCTCTGCTCCTCCTCTCTGCACAGCCCTCTCATGGAGACAAGGCAGCTAACCCCAAAGTCCTCAAATGGATGACCGACCTCACCAAGATCCGCAGGCAAATTAAAGGTAGAACCTCCGCTCTTTTTCCTGTGAACACGCGTGTGTCAGGGTTTGAATGTCTGTGTGCCATCCTGTTCCGTGCTGGACACCTTGACCCTCCCCACTCCTAACCTTTGACCTTTGTAACAACATTGCATGTATGCTGGATTAACTCACACAAGCAGACACGCATGTCCCATAGATTGACGTGGCTTTCATATGCGTGGCTCCTACCCTCCGATGTGCTGGTGCGTCCTTGTATACCCACATTCATGATCTGAGGAGAGTTCAGTCAGGTGAAAATGTGGGAAACACTGTGTAATGAGTAAAAGATCAGTAACGTAACTTGAAATGTGGTCGTGCAGGTTTCTGCTCTGTGGTTACCTGGTGTTCATTCTTATCAAATGAACAGTAAAAGGGGGTCATCTAAACTTTTAGAAGCAAAAGAAACTGAATCTGATAAATAAGAATCTATTTGTACAGTCTCTCTTTCACAGTCCCATCGTTTCACCGAACTGAACGAACCCTTTGACACTCGTCCACCTCCTCTCTGTGAGGTGACGTCTCTCCTCTCCGGAGAACGAAGTGGCCGAAACATTTCTCTCTCTGTTTCAAATCTAAATTGAAAATCAACAATAACGCGAGCACCCGCTCTCCATTTTCCTCCCTCCTCCTCCAATCGCCCAACCACCGATTGATTGATTGATTGACTGACCGATCGGCCAACCAGGACGCCAGCACCACCTTTTACCCAGAAGCACGCTGAGGCACCAGGCTTTGCTCCATTCACACAGACGCCACCATGCTCCCTCCTCCTCCCCTTCCTCCTCCTCCTCTATCTGCCCTCCTCCCCATCACACACTCACCCCCCCACGTCACTCCTACTCAGGCCTGAACTCTAGACCGTTTCACCTCAGTAAGTACCAACCCCTCAGTAAGTAGACCTTACATACACTCCTGACAGTGACAATGAGGCGGCTTTGTGCCGGCATCTTGCTGCTTTGTTTTGGTGTGTTTCCTGTTGAAACAGCATGTCGGCACGGGGATGTTTGAACAGAGGTGTCTCTCAAAAATGTCAATGTGATTTGCCGAAGGGGGTTTTTATTGGGTGTTTATTGAGGAACAGACATGTTTAGATGTGGAAGTGTGTTGTAGTTCCTTCTCAATGATGTAGATATTATCACGCTGTGACAAAATTACAAACAATACCATCTTGGAGGTGATAACAGATACAAATAAACTGTTCAGTGTTTATCTCAGTTCACTCTGGATACCAAGTGTCTCTGCCTGTAGTTGTAGAGATAACGCAGAATTTCTAGGGTTTTTCTCTACTAGGCCACTTCTCCTTATCTTTACTTATGGGGAGGTGTGAGTAATTCTGGAACTCTTAATATTCCTTCTTATCCGTCGTACTTGACATTGAAGTTTTCTTTACTATGATCTTGAAGTACAAACCTGCAGAAACCCTCCACTATGTCTCAGTGTGTAACCATGAACATTTAGAACTGTACTGTCAGAATCAGGAAGTGTTCAGGAAGTGGTTTTTGCTTCTTTGTATGGTCTTCTACTTGATGTGGTGGTGTGTGTTTTTGTTCAGGGTGTGTGTGTGTGTGTGTGTGTGAGTGTGTGTGTGTGTGTGTGTATGTGTGTGTTTAAGCATATGAGCGCTCCTTCTCCACCTCAGCTCTCTGTTAAACTCCTGCATGTCCTATCTGATCGTCCTATCAGAGGTTGACTTCAGGTTTCATTCTGTCTTTTTCTTTAACCACTTTCTTTGTCAGGGTTCCTTCTCTGCCACACTCCCTCCATCTCCTCCTCTTTTTTTCCCTCCTTCCTCATGACTTTGTACCTCCATCCTCAGATGCCAAACACCGTGCAGAGAGCGAGCTCGGCCCTCAGACTCGTCCTCGGAGCAACACCTTGCCCAAGAGCTTTGGCTCGACACTGGATCAAGGCACCCATGATGCAGCGGGGGACGTTAAAGGTTCGCATCCCACCAGGGAGGAAACACTGGAGCTGATCCAGTGCAGGGTCAAAGGGAAGAGGCAGGAGGACGGATGGCCTGATGACATCAAGGTGAGGAGTCGATACTTTTTCATCGGGGATTGAATAAGACCCTTTTTGTGGTACTACTGCGACTTATACAGATGCTGCTCATCCATTTAGTACTTCAGTAGTACTCATATCAGTAGTTTTTTTATTTTAAAGAAAAAGAAACATCTTTAACATTATTTCTGTGAAAGTTTGACTTCTACATCCTTTAATTCTGAACAACAGATCAGATGATGCTGTAACCATTTCACACTGAATTTATGAACACACCCATTACAATCAGCTGACTGACAGTTACTTAACATGTTTGTATAATTTATTTAGGCTTCAGGCAAGTCAATGAACTGAAATAGAAGTTACAACAGTAATGAACTGTGTCTTTGTTCCTGTAGAAGATGACCAAAGAGCAGTTGTCCTGTGAGAAGACGGTCCTGCAGAAGAACCTGCTGCACTACGAAGGCCTGCACGGTCGACCGGTAACTCACCAACATCACCAACATCACCAGCCCTGAGCAGATTCAGATCAAAACACACGTTCAGACCTTTTTCTAATCGGCTCTTTGTGTCTCAGGCGACCAGAGAGGAGCGTCTGGTGGTGAAGCCTCTCTACGATCGCTACAGACTCGTCAAACAGATGCTCACCAGAGTCTGCATCACACCGATCACAGTAAGATCACACAACGTTACCACCATTAAACCTGTGTGCGTCTGCTCTTGTTAATGTCTGTCCCATTAAACTTGTGTAAATGTCTTCCTGTGATAACCATCTCCCCTCCCTCAGGTGTCCCCCTCCAGTAAGAGGCGGAGTCAGATCCTCCAGCCAATCATAGAGGGAGAAACTGCTCATTTTTGGGAGGAGATCAAAGAGGAGGAGGAGGAAGAGCGGAAAGGAGGTGGTGGAGCAGAAGAAGAAGAGAAGGAGGAGGAGAGGGAGGAGGAGGACGATGAGGAGGAGGAGGAGGAGGGAGAAAGCAGCGGCGGTGAGATGCAGAGCTCTGAGGTCATCATGGCCGTCGACCTCGTGACCACGACCGACAGGCAAGTGAGGAGCCAGGACCAATCAGACCAACAGAGCGACTGTCCAATGAGAGCCAAGCTGGAGGAGGGGTCGGGGAGGCTGGCGCTGGACCTGCGACTCTCCAGCTCCAACGCTTCGTCCATGTAAGAACAAACACACACACACACACACACACACTCATTCTCTTAATGACAAGTTCACACTACACAACTTTTACAGTCGGGGGATCGTTCCCACTAAACGACTGACTATCAACATGCAAAGAACACGTCCTTCATCTTCTATTTGAGATTCAGTTCTGGTCGAATGTGGTTCAAATTATTATGGTCAACGATCAAAATGAAATCGATGTCTACGATACAGCCCCTTCCATTTTATTTCTTTAGAAACGAATGACCCACACAAGATTTGTCAAAAACAGCCACAGTTGTGAGAGTCAGGAAATGTTTTTAATGTTATTAAAAAAAAAAGCAAGTGTGTTTTAAACAAGTGTGTTTTCAACAAGTGTGTTTTAAACAAGTGTGTTCATGAAACTGTCATTAAATGCAAGAACAACAACAAGTAGTATTTCAACTATCACCTATATGTGGTCAAGTTTCTATGGCAACGACTGTTGAAGAGATTATTTCTGGCAGTGATAGTTAATTCCTGTGGGCGTCAGGTGATTGACAGCATCAGATCCAAACACAGTTTTCTGCTGAGCTACGACTTCAAACAACGGTTGAGGCGGTTTGGATAAATTGATTTAGTTTTTATATTTTCCTCCTTCTTCTTGTGGGAGTAACAGATGTTCACTTCACTTCCTGCCCCCGACTCTTTATTTATGGGTCAATAACCAACTGGCTCCTGTTTGGGGCAAACAAATTAAAATGATCTAAAAGTATTTGAGCTTCAGAACCGTCCCACTTTGGGATTTGAACTGCAGTTCAGTGAAGTATTAGTTTCATGACTCATGAAGTGTAACTGCGTCCTCGTACAGGCCAGAGCTGCTGGAACAGCTGTGGAAGGCCCGAGCAGAGAAGAAGAAACTGAGAAAGACCATCAGAGAGTTTGAGGAAGATTTCTATCAGCATAATGGAAGGTAGGTGGGACACACACACACACACACACACACACACACACACGTCTCACCCCTGATCTGACATTAAACATAAATAGATCTTTTCTGCATAGTTTATTCTCTTATAGAAGTTTTCACATCAAATCATTCTGGCAACATAAATGTCATGACAGATGGTAAAAGCCTGTGAAAAGCTCAGCCGGCTCCTCGGCCAAACCGTTAATCAGCTCCAGATTAAACAATGAATCAGTCTTGGATCTGAGCGTTGACTCCAGTCACAGCTTCTGTTCTTTCATGTGAGAAGCTGTTCAAGATGGAGGATCACGGATGTCAACAAATATGGCGTCCAAAGACAGATGTTACTTACACTTCATGTCTGATGGTCATTTCTCTTCCTCTGCCTCACGTCTGTTCCATTGAATCTATAATAATGATAATACTAATAATAATTCTGCCCCTCTGTGGACATCGACCTTGTGCTCCAGAGCTAACTCTCCCCTCTCTGTGCTGCTGTAGAAACGTTCAGAAGGAGGACCGGGTGCCGATGCTAGAGGAGTACAGAGCGTACAAGAGGATCAAGGCCAAACTCCGCCTCCTGGAAGTCCTAATCAGCAAACAGGATTCCTCCAAATCCATTTAGGCCCTCCCCTCCTCAGACACCTGCCAATCAATCAACGCACACATCAGCCGTCATCACTGAAGTCCAGCCGTCTGCCGGACGTCATCGCACCCCCGAGGGTTTCATCGAACGCTCCTGTGACCACAAGACGACTTCGCGGCCACTGCTCGGTGCTGCAGTCACGTCACAGAGAAACTAACGGAGGGACAGTTCAGGCAGGAAGTTCTGAAATACTTTGATTTACTTTCACAGTCGGAGGATTTTCTGGAAACAGGAGATTTTACAGTCACATTTTAGAGACGGAATCTGTTCTTCAGCTTCAGGAACCCAAGTAAAGTTTAGTTTTTAGTTTGTCGAACTGTCTGATTCACTCAGACTGACGCTGTTCGTGTACAAGTATGTGTGCAGCATTTATTCAGACTGAAACCCAACACTGGATGTTGGTACCAGTATCAGAACGAGGGAAGAGAGTTTCTTCCTGAATACTCAATAAGTTATAAGTAATTAACAAGTAAAATATTTAAAATCAGAACTCTGGCCTTCAGGCTCAACATCACCTTTAAGACTCCACATTTAAATCTGCTCATTCACATCAGGCCTTTAAACGAGTCTGATGTTCTTCATTAAGATCTTTGAATTATTCTTTGAGAAATGGGCAAAAAATGTAAAAAACGCAACGTAAAAGACAATTTGCCAAATCTTCGAGTCTTGTGGAATAAAATCACAACTTGAATTAATAATCACTTTTAACAGCTGAGTAGTTTTTGCTACTCGAAGCTACTGGGACTGTTTAGTCGGCTTTTAGCATTTTGATCAGAAAAGTGTTTTTTCTAAAGCTCAGTTTTAATTTACGCTCGTACAAGTTGTTTCCTGTGACTCGACTGCAGCAGCGCCCCCTGCAGTCAAACCTGAAATCACTCCAGTCAGACTCAGCCGATCTCCTGCTGCCTCATCTGACGCATATCATCGGAAACACGGCCGCAGTTTAAAAACACCGCAAAAAGAATCTTCTTCATTTATCTCCATCGTCGTCGTCATCCCACCAACTCGACGTTAGACTTTGCACTTGACTTCTCGTTTCCTCGTCTTCTGAGGAAAAGTTAAAAACATTCTGACTTTTTTTAATTTCAGGAACTTTTCTGTCGTCGATCTTTGTTTGTTTCCTTCATGCTGAGGAATCTCGTGGGGACGGCTCGAGGACTTAAAGACGCTCTTCACTCAACACACGTCTGTTTGTTTTTGTTTGGGACGTCGTTCGGTGTAAGACGTTCCTCTTTAGCGTCACGTCAGGGAGGCACGATTTTAAACCTAATCTTAAAACCGGCCTCCCTAGTGCGGAGCGATTGATTATTTTATTCTCCCGGTGAAACTTTGACATCTTCATGTTCCGACTGGTTTTAAAATTAATTCACTAAGTTTAAAAAGAAGTTTGTTCATGTTATAAAATAAACTGCACACGTTTGTTTGAGACACTGATGTTCACGTTGAAGGAAAAATCGCGTCGCGTTTCAAGGGAAAACGAACAATTCTCCATTTTCCTTTTCATTTCTTTGTTCTTCATCATTTCTTTTTTACTTTTTTGTGTCAGTTTTGTCAGAAGATGTACAGCAGGTCGGCATGAGGTGAACTTTAGTTTCCCATGATCCTCTTGTAAAAATGCTGCTTTTAGGTTTTAAGTCTGAACTTTCTAAAAGCAGAATTAAACTCAAGATGTTCACAGGAAACAGTCGGACGCAGATCAGGAGATTTGGGTGGTTCTAGAGATCATCTGGAATATCGTGCACTGGTTATGGACGTAGTTCTTGTTTTTCAGTTAAACTTGTTCAGAGGGATGATGGGTGATAAACGCTGAGAAGAGGAGCCGGTGTTTGTTTTACGTTGCTGCTGCTTCTCTGAAAAACCAAAAGAATGATGGTTACAGGTGTGACCAGGTCTGATGTCCAGGAGCAGGTGTCGTTAAAAAAACTTTGGTTGTTCCCTGGTTGAGATTTTCCCCCGCTGGGATTTTTAGCTTTAAAGGCTTTAACGTGTGGATGAGCACTGATTTTAAGCATCTGTGGTTTAACTGGTATTTTTCCCGGGACGCTGAAGGTCTGAATAGATTCATTAATGTCACGTTCACGTCACAGAGAAGAAGTTAAACCTGCTGTGTTTCGTGTCCTCGGTCAAACCTGCAGCTCCGGTGAAGTTTCATTTCCTGCTGGCGGGTCAAATGAGGGCAGGCGAGGGGGGGGAGTTTGTCATTTTCTTCTTCTGTGATGCTGCGTCGTCGTGAGTAAGATCAGAGTCAAGATGTCACAATGTGATTTAAAAAGTGGGAAGAAGACATTTCCAACAGTTGCTACATTTTGGCTTCAGCTGGTGAGTTCGTGAAGCGATCGTTCTATTATCAGAACCTGAGTCGCTGTTAACTGAGGAAGGTTTCAGCTGTCGAGGGCCGGCGAGACTTCATGTGCTTTTCTTACTGTATCGTTGTAGATTTACCTGCCAGAGTCCGAGCGACTGCAGCCGACGACAGACGTGAGGGTTTGAAATCAAAGTTCTGAACGAGACTTAAAGTTGGCGTTTGAACAAAAATGGGCGAGGGAGGTGCGGTGTGTGTTTGTCGGCACGGTAACGGAGGTCATTTGTAAAAAGACGTTATTTGCACAGCATTCACAGAATGCAGCCCTATTGTGTTTTTTTTTTTTTTTTCATTTGTATTTCTAAAAATGAAGCACTACTTCTATATAAATATAAATATATCCTGTACATAAAAAAAAAACACCCGAAGGAATGAATGTCAGAAATGTTTAAATTATTTCAAACATTGCGTTTGGCTCCCCCTTTTGGTTATAATTATATTTGTGATGCCCAGAGAATGTGTTTTTTGTAATAATATCACTATGAATACTACTATTACTATCATACCAGTTCTTTTGTGTGATGATTCCGATGATAATAATCCTTTTGTATCTACTCACTAACTGTAAAACCAGCTGTAGAAGTTAGTCTGGCACTGTGTGTGTGGCTAATCCAACATGAACCTGCTCTGTTCCTCCTTTACTTTGTCAGTCTGTGTAAAATACGTTGAACTAGAATCAGTACTGTAGTCAGCTTGCATGGCAAACGAGAACATAATAGTGCAAAAAAATATATAAATATCATTGTTTCTGTTTTTTGTGCCATGAAGACGCAGCAATAATAAAAGTGTGTGGAGGTTTTACAGTATCGGGTCATGATGAGTTGCATCGACTGTGTGAATATCTGAGGTACTTTATTTTTTAGTTTTTTACATAGGTTGACTTTAACACACTCTGTTCTGACCTCTGTTGTCAGCATAATGTTCATGAAAAACAACTAAACGAGAATTTGACATAAAGAGCGATTGAGAAGCCAGCGCAGGACGAGTCATATCTGAAAACATTCCAGTTTTTATCCTGAAGTTAAAAAGTGGAAACAATCTGTTGTTTTTCTTTTCTGGTTTTTGAATTCCCATTCTCTCGGCGCCTCAGTTTCTCTTTTGTTTTACATTGTGCTTGCAACAGAGTGGTACAACGTCACATGTGGTTCTCACGTCGTAAACTGTAAATGTGTCCTGTCAGTGTACAGTTTGTTTCATCTCACCCGTGTGACGTCGGTGCACGGTTGTTTCTCTCACACTCACAAACACACACACGGAGGGTTCGCAGCAGAGGTCGGAGTCAAAGACGTCTCACAGGTCACAGCAGCTCCTGAAAGAAACGATCAGTTCTTTTAGTCGCAACAGGAACAGAAGACGTCGATTATCCATCTTACAAATCTGTGAAGGGACTTTTCAGTTCATAGAGGCCTTAATTTTTAAAGGATCAGTGCTTTTGTTTCTTTCCGACTCAAAGCTGAAGATAACGGAGCTGAGGAAACAGATTTGTTCTGCCAGGGTTTCGATTCCTCTTCTGTTCACAAACTCCAGTGAATTTATTTAAACTCACGACGTCTTCGACGATGAACTTTGCTGCTGCTCCTCCTGCTCCTCCTCCTCCACGTGTTTCATCACATGAATATATTGTATGTACTGTGTGTAATTGTTTTCATACTTTGTGAATGCTTATTTTCCCTGTTATTTCTTCATTAACAAAAACGATGAGAAAATACAATCAGTAACATTTACACATGAAAATAAAAATGACAAGCTTGCCACATCAGTTCTCCTCTGTCTTCTGTCAAACGAACCAAAGACCAGTTTCAAGATAAAACTTCGCTCTGTGTTAAAAGCTTGACGATGCAGCAGCTGATCGATCGAACATTAAACTGTTTTGATAAAAGTCTCAATATTTTAGACATTTTTTAACAAATAAATGTGATGACTTGATTCATTTCTTCACCGTCTAAGAACATCCTGCGTTTGGTCAGATAAAATTTAAACATCATCGGTCTGTGGGAAACTAGAACGGAAACATTTTTGTCATTATCCGACAGTTCATTGGCAAAATTTACAGAAAAAATGATTGCAAACTTAAATAAAATCTAAATATTCAGAGAAATAAAAGAATGAGAAAAACTAAATTAAATCTCAAATAGTTCGAAACAGATTTATGTTATTGCCAAATAAGTTAAGAAGAAATAATAAATTTGAAATAATAAATTTGAACTGCTCATTCAGTTTGTTTTGCTCACTTTCATTTAGTTATTTTTAACTTTGTGAATTAAATCAGGTTGTTTATGTTTTTTCTCATGAGAATTTATCTGTTTTCACCAAAACATAATTTTGGCCTTTGGAATTCTTAATATCTCTTTTTCATAGAAACAGTTGCAGCAATTTTGAAACGAATTAAAGTTTTATTCTATTATTGTTTCATGTTTCACTCAAGTTGTCAGCAATGTAGAAAAGTTACTGGTAAATGTCGCCGTCTAGAGGACTTTAAAAGAATTACCGCCCTGCAAATGTTAGCCTGCACCGACGGTGAAATATCTGTCTACATGGTTTTTCTTTCCAAACTCATGTGACGTCACCGCGACCTTTGACCGCTGATATCAATGATATCAATAAATCTTTTGTGTTCAACTGATCAAATCTTTAAGAAAAGTCTCTGAAGGCAGATTTGAGAAACATTTTCTGAGTCCACTGTTACCACGACCTTTAACCTTTAACCACCAAAATCAAATCACGTCAGTCTTGACCCCAAGTGAAGGTTTGTGCCAAATGTTGTGAAATTCCCAGTTATGAATTTTTTTTCAACATTAAATTAAAACATAAATCGCATCTTGTCTGTATCGTTTACTCGATTAAATATTTTTTCTTCTCTGCAGACACTGACACCTCGGTGAAAGACTCAAATCCACTGATTTTTGTGGCGTTTAATTGTTTCTACCTCATGAAGCTTGTCCGACACTCGTCCTCATAAAAAGCTCAGACTGTGACTGCAGACGTTCAGATCCCAGGCGAAGCAGCAACGTGACGTCCAGATCCTCGGGTGGAGATTTCCTCAAACAAGCATTCAGTGGTTCCTCATTAACAGATTCTCCAGTGAGTTTTATACTGAAACCAACCGATAGAGAAACGTGAATGTATGATTGTAACACGGACGGAACAAACGCAGAACACATGACGTGTGAATGAAGTAAACATCCAGACACAAGAGTTTAGTCTTGAAAGATTTTATATTCTTCTTTGTCAGGAGGATTTTAAAATGGCAGCAGGTCGAGTTTCTCTGTGATTTTTAGAAGATTTTAGACAGAAATGAGAAAACGTTTCATCAAATAACTTCTAATAATCTCTTTTCTTTAGCTATGGCACCAGTCAGTCCGTCTGCTAAATACACTACAACTAAAACAAACCCACGTCCTCTGAATGAACTTTATCAGACAACATCAGTGGAACTTTGTCAGGATGAGGTATGAAATGCAAATCTCAATAAATGCTCTAGAAACAATTGGACCAAAATAATAAATAGAAAATCTTAAACCTGCATCTTTTTCATTTGACTGTTACAGCTGAATTTCTACAGTGCATTTTGACACACGCTCTTAAACAGTGAACACAAATAATTCACCCTCTCAGTTTGTTACTTAGCGATAAAAACGCTCAGTGGCACATTTCTCGTGAAGTTGTTGGCCTCTACGTGTCGACGTTAGCGAGCTCGATCGACAGCGGAGACGATCTGACGGCAGCAGGTCAGAGATCCAGTCGCTCGGAGACAAGCGGACGTCCGCTCCGCGTCAGTCAGTGCAAGTGTGAAGTGCATCAGTAGTGTGTCGTCAAAGAGCCGAGACCTGCTGTGTTGAATCAGATCGACCACACAATCTCAAAAATATTAAATATGATCATTTTGCATATAAGACGCTTTTAACATTCTTTAAATTATCTTGCAGCTCACTGCGTCTCTAGGTCGAGAACATCTGTCTGGCAACAGCTGGTTTTCATTTAGCAGCTGGAGCCGCTGACGATCGGCACAGGAATCCGAAAAAACCCCAAAAAATCTCAAAATCAAGCTGAAGAACCAGTTGCCAGGAGCTCGTTTATCTCATAAGATCTGTGGCAAGTCTAGTATTTTTTTTTTTTTTTAAAAGGCTCGGTGATGTGCTCAGGTCTCCAGAACGCTCCTTCAGCAGCCAATCGAGTCACACTTCCTGGTTGTAGCAGCACCTTTATCGCTGGAAGCAGAGTTCATCAACAGTGAGGTGGTGGTGGTGTCTCCGTCCGCTGGTGTTCTGAAGTTTTCAGCTCCTCAGGTTTGATTCCATCCATCAAAGGATTTCCACCTTTGAGCATCTGAAGCTTTTCTCCGTTTCCCGACAACAAGCGTCTCTAACGTCTGAGTGAGTTCTGACGTCGGCTGATGACGCTGCTTCTCGTGTGCTTGCAGTTTGATAAACTTCTCACTAAGACACTGTTCCTTTAAGCCCGCTCTCTTGGGGTATTGCTTCTTATCTTGTGCAACAGTGGAGATCTCTCGGGGCTGTAATGAAAATGGCGTTGAGCAACAAAATCCTGTTTTGGGTAAACGCCGAACTCCCCAACATCCTCCTGGTGACGATCTATCCAAGGTTGTGTCAGATGAGGATTGAGAGCGTCTCATTCGTTGACGACAGCGTCACTTCAGATGACCTCAGATGTCGCTCGGCTGCTGATGCTCTGGAATAACTGTCATAGCGGCTTGTCGATCACTGCGACACCTGGAGGAGACGGAACGTGACAAAGAGTGAGACCAACGTGAAAACCTTTTTAATATAGTGTTTTGTGATGTTCTGCTACAAGCATCAGAGATGTCTCTTTGGCAAGAACACGGATCTATGTGCCGATTTGCCCAAGAAGTATTTCCTGTAGTGTAGCGTTAGCCAGCTAGCTTAAAATATCAACAAATGTGTCCAAATTTCACAGTTAAATGGCGATGTGACTTCAGGTATGGGGGGGGGGTACTCGTGCTGCCAACTAACAACACTAAGGCAACACAATCATCAGGGTTGGTAGCACGAAGCTGTTGAATTATGTTGTACAAGACCAGGTATTAGAATCAGGAAAGGAGAGATGGAATCAGTAAATCTCTCACTGTGTTTCCTGTGGTCTGACCGGCTGAGACGTACCTGCGTAGCTTCGTCCGTTGCTCATGTTGGTGGGAATGAGGCTCCACTTGTCTGTGGCCGGGTTGTAAAACTCTACGGACGACAGGTTACAGGAGCCGTCGTCTCCTCCGATCACGTACAGCAGCCCGTTGATGGCACAGACGCCTTGAGGACATGAAACAAGATCCCGTGAAAAAATGAAACTGAATCTGTTGCTCGTAATCATCACATCTGTCATTTGATATTTCAGGAGGTGAGTGTTCAAAGAACGGCTGATATGATCGTTTTAGAAATCTTGAAAACACAGGATCAAAAATGTTTCTACTTTTTGTGATTTCTTTCTTTTTTTTCTGTGTGTGAGTGTGTGTGTGTGTGTGTGTGTGTGTGTGTGTGTGTGTGTGTGTGTGTGTGTTCTCTGACCTGCGTTTCTCCGACACATGTTCATGTCACACACCAGCCTCCAGGTGTTGGTCAGTGGGTCGTACACCTCGACACTCTTCCTCACAAGAGGTCCGTCATGTCCTCCTGCTGCGAACAGCTGACCACTCAACACCCCCACACCTGGACCAAACACAGGAGGAGGCTCCGCAGTGAACACAGATAAAGTGGAAGGATGAAGTTGTAGTGTGATACCTTCTGATTCAACACTCTTGTGTCTCACTCACTCATTTAAAACGTGTGTGTGTGATGTGTGATATCTGAATCTGAAAGATAAAATGGATTCCCAGCATGAAGGAAACATTCTGAGAACAAACTGACGTTCTTCTGAATTAAATACATTTAAATTAAACTGTAACGCTGTTAATCGTGACGACACTGGACTCAATTATAAAAGTTCAACTGCTTCTGATTCTCGTTTGCACAATTACAGACAAAGTCCACTAGGGGGCACTGATCGTGCAAAATTCTGTTGGCAAAAACACAAAGAAGAATTTATTTTAGTACTTTATCAAATTAAAAATTAATATCTTGCATTTGTAAACATAAAGGAAGACTTTTTGTTTTACTGCCTCCACTTTGTTTTATGTACTGGACTGATATAAGATAATATACTTTTTACAGTAAAATAACAAATAAACATACAATGGCATCTCTGTTTGTGTGTGTGGTGTTTGTGTGTGTGTGTGTGTGTGTGTGTGTGTGTGTGTGTGTGTGTGTGAGTGTGTGTGTGTGTGCCTGCTCCACTGCGTCGTGTGCTCATGTCAGCGANGCGTGTGTGGTGTGTGTGTGTGTGTGTGTGTGTGTGTGTGTGTGTGTGTGTGTGTGTGTGTGTGTGTGTGTGTGTACCTGCTCCACTGCGTCGTGTGCTCATGTCAGCGACGTAGCACCACTGATCAGCGACAGGGTCGTATTCTTCCACTGTACTGAGACACTGACGAGAAGCTCCATCATAGCCTCCTACTGCGTACAGCTTACCTACACACACACACATTCAAAATGAGCCATGATTGAATTGTTCTGCTTTTGTTGAAATAACACACGTTATAACTGAGGTCACACAGATTTCCCTCTTACCATCAACCACCCCTACGCCCACACTGCTGCGTCTCGTGTTCATGGAGGCGACGTAAATCCACTCGTTGGTTTTATAGTTGTAGACCTCAACTGTCGACAAACCTGGACCAGAGAGAAACAAGGACGAAAAGAGAAAAGAACAGAAAATCTAATTAATCCAAACACTAGTAGGATGGATAAAGAACGTGTGTGTGTGTGTGTGTGCTGATGACATTTTAAATTCAGCTGTAAGATGTGTTACGACAAGAGAAGAGAAGAAGATGGCTCCTGTCTCTTGTGTCGTCAACACTGTAGTAGACAGTTGTGCTAATACAGGGAATCACATCTGCTCAATCTCATGAGCTAATGAGTGAACAGATGAAATCTGATGAGATCCAGTGGACAAAGTGTGGAGTCTTTCATTTCACCTCTCCAGACTTCACTCATCGTTTTCTCCAGTTCATTTGTAAATAACTGAATTTTGTGGAAATCTGCTCAGTAGATTTTATGTAATCTTGCTTACAAACGTACAAACAAACAGACGGGGGTGAAAACATAACCTCCAAGGCAGAGATAACAAATCATCAATTAACTGCTGATAAATATTCTAGCAACCCTATAATGTGTATGTACGTGTATGTATGTGTGTGTGTGTGTGTGTGTGTGTGTGTGTGTGTGTAACTGTGTACCTATACTTCCGTTAAAACCCCCCACAGCGTAGAGTAAATCCGCCCACACAGCAGCTCCCAGTGTGCTGCGTCTCTCCTGCATACTCGCTGCCGCACTCCACTGGTCTCTTCCACCGTCGTACACGTCCACCGTCCGCTCCCGCAGGGAACTGTTAAAGCCCCCGACTGCAAACACACGTCCTGCCATCGACACAACACCTGGGAGAGTAGAGAGAAGAAGTTAATTATTAGAAAACTGTAGGATACGGTAACAGAAGGTGCAAAAATGTTGAAGTTCTTCAATAAACAGTGAAACTCAAAAGCTTCACATCACTAGCTATGCTGCAAAATCCTATTCAGCATGGAATAACTGCACGTGACCATAAAACACAGTCATGCACAAGAAACAAACACGGACCTGCCCGACACCGTCTTGATGGGAGGTCAGCTACTTGGTACCAGCGGTCGTCCTGGAAGTCGTAACACTCCACACTGCGAATCGCCTTAGGAGCCTGACCGCCGACTACGATCATCACCTGTAAGTCCCACAAACACAAGATCCCACAAGACAGTTGAATCCATGAACCGTGTTTACAGAAGAGAAAGAACAATAACTGACACTGTGAGTTTACGTTGAGAGCAGCTGGGACGTGTTTGTTTTCACCTTGGGGATGCTGATAGGCGTTCTCGGTCGAGTCCTGTCCGTCTTGATGAGGTGCCGCTGGTCGGCAGGCAGCAGGTGATACTTCATTGCTTCTATAAGGAAATCTTTACAGGTGTTGTTGTTCTTTATCAAAGCTTCTTCCTCCACGATCTGAAACAGGGAAACATAACTGTGGGTATTAAATGTGAGCAAGGAGGATATACTGTCTAAGTTTCACGTTTCCATCTAAGCTCTGGATGATCAATTCAGAGATACATTTAATTTAATTCAATTTCTTTTAACAGCCAAAATACGATTGATTTTCATTTGAGCACAACATGCACAATAATGTACTGGGCAGAGGTGAAAAAGTAAAGCGGTGGAGAATTTGGAGAAAGCAGAGGAAGAGCGGAGAATTTCTTCTACCTGCACCAGGTAATCCCTGGACAGTAGTGGAAGTCTGACATGCTCCATCAGTTTGGGCATGTGCTCCAGACGAGCCGGCTTATCGTGCTTGATCCAAGATATCATAGCCTCAAATACCTGGGAGGGAGATGGAGAGCGGTGAGGACAGGAGCACGTATATATGGAACAAGTATAAACAAACGAAGAGGTGAATGTTTGAATCGTAAAAACATTTCTACTTTCAGATATATAAATACTGTTTATATTACTGCTTTATCGATGCTGGTACACGTTTTTAAAACTTTTAGTGAGAAAAAGCTTCTTCGGGATTAAAGGTCAAAGGAAAAGAATTGAGTTTTAGACTTGAGCGGAATTTTCTCACCCTGACACATCTGGTCAATCTCTAGCTGAAGCTGGGCCTGACTGATGGTTCTGGAAGGTGTGAGGGGAGGGGGGGTTTCAGACTCTGTTCAACAATTTACATGTCTGAAGCTTACAGACGTCCTGAGTGGGATCAAGGTCAACAATCAAACTCAGTGTTTGTGTGAAATGCATCGATCAAGGAAGCAGATACTGTTCTTTCAGAGATTGCTTGTACTTCACTCCCAGCTGGACGTCAGCACACTCACTGTATGTGACTTTTACCTTTTTTGTTTTACACCCTGTTCTATCTGAAACAGGGCGTGATGTCTTCACCTGAGCCCGTCAGTGATCTTTTGTTTGAAATTCATTGATTTGCATACTCGATCATCTCCTGTGGAGCAGCTACACTGAGGCAAATGAGCGACTGACTACGACTCCTGTTGTGGACAAAGGAACATTATTTAGTTCTGAATTTCAAGAGACAATACCACAGCCTATTGAGCTGACTTCACTTATAACCATACAAACTGTGATTAAGAGCATGTGAGTGTGAAAACCCAAAGTCACTTCAGCCTTATAGTTGTTATTGTGACTTGGAATCTCACCTCTTTAATGACAAATGCAGTAAAGAGATGTGGAAACCTCAGTATCTATAGTTGTTTATTAATCCAGCTAACTTGTAACAGAGAATTCAGTTGAAGCTGGTTGGACACTTCATGGACAGCATGATGAAAGTGTCTGAATCCCTCTGTGTCTCTGTCTGACTGAACAAACCTGACTGTCCCTGTCCTGACAGCACGATGACACACAGATGCTCCTGTTGACTGACTATCAGCATGAAGAGATGTCGTCCTCTGGAATATGTCTGCTGGCAAAAGCCATCTCATCAAAAATGTGTGATGAGGATGTTGGCAGTTAATACACCTGAGATCTTTTACAGATAAATTAATTAGTCAGATGCTTATAGTTCACGATTTTTTTCTTCTTCTTAACATCTTAAAAAAATCTGTTGCTCCTGCATTGATGTGTAATGAGAGGCAGCTTAAAAAAGTGCAATGAGTCACTTGGGATCTGTTTCTTTTATTTTTAATTCCTTAAAAAGTACGAAACTCCTTTTTCACCCTAAAGGAAACAGAACTTTGATTAAAGAGTTGAAGTGTGTGTCTGTATTGTGTCATCTGACCTTTTCCTCTGTGGAGACTGTGAGTTTATCACTGGAGATGAGGCTGCACACTTGCTGCAGAGTCAGGCCTAGAAACTCTTCCCCCTGCACCACGTCTGTGAAATGTTGCTCTGAGAGACACAAACAAACAACTGAAAAGCTCAGTGACATTCAAACACAAAGCTCAACACTGATCAAAGCTCAACATGTTTTTACTTTCTTCACCATTTAACACATTCAGCATCTCATTTTCAACCTCTGTACACGTAACAGATTTCCAAAGGTTTCAGCCTTTTTCAGGGCAGTTACATAAAAGTAGCACCATCACCTACCACATCTCTTATACATGCAGTGGCAAAGATGACTCAGGATTTGTGGTGTGAACAGTGAGAAGCTTACCAGCGTATGCGTGGGCCTGATTGAGAAGCTGCATGCATGTGTGCAGGTCGGCGAAGGCTCTGATGCCCAGACAGTTGGTCGGGTGAAGCTGAGATTGCAGGAACTCGCAGCAAACCTGACGAACATCCATCAGCTGGAGGAGACTTGCTGCTGGGAGCAGAACCTGCAGAGAGGACACACATGGGAGCTCTGTTCATATCTGGCATTAAGTCAGCTCACACTTGTCACAAAATGTGAGCGCTTGTTATCAGATTTCACTTTCCTGTTCTGTATACAAGTAATTGTGAACATAATTTCTGTTTGCAAGGATCAAATGCCATATTGTTTTTAATAACTTCTGGTGGGAGGCAGGGAGGCACTCCTCAAACCTAGACTGCAGGAAATCAAAAGAAGAAGAAGCAATTAATGCTACACTGATGGGGTCTGTTCCAGGGCAAATCTTTCAACCACAACTTGTAAAGTTTCCCCATGTGAGAAGCACATCAGACACTGAGAACACTGGTATGTGTTCACACGGGCAAACAAGTGCTACTGATGCTAATAGACTTTGTGTGCCGTCAATAAATATAATACTGACATTATTATATGACACTAGATCTCTGCATCTTCTTAGTCTCACATGCTGCAAGAGTCAAGATCCATGAAGGTATTCGTCAGAGTAGTATTTAGATCCTTATGGCTCAACTCTGCTTCACCTAGGGTCTGTTAGCTGGTCAATTAGCAGTGCAGGCAGGTAGGCAGTGTGTGGCTAATAGAGCGTTGCTGGGAGACTCTATCCTTACACACATCCCTACACGTTAGCTTAACTAGGTCAGACTGCCTCTGTCTAAACTCTCACTCTTCTTATGAGTGGGCTTTGATAGCGTCTCCTCTGTGTTCCAGCTGCACGGAAGCCTTGTGTTTCTAAAGAGGAGCATCAGGCCCACTGGAGTTATAAACGCAGACGGTACAGTTGGTAGCACAAACAACACATTCACTATCTGGGCACTTTATTAGGAACACTGCTAATACTGGGACGGGTCTCTCTGTGCTCTCCGAACAGCCTCAAATCTGTGGCATCGATTCCTACAGAGACTCTGACTTTCATTGATCATTTCACATCAAATTCTGCAGATTTTCCTGCTGCACACTCAGTGTTTCTCACGTCCTACCACATCCCAATGGTGTTCTAGATTCAGATCTTCTGACTGGGGAGGCCACTGACCCAGCGTGAGAAAATGTTTGCTTTGTGATATGGTACACTATCATGTTAGAAGAAGCGATTAGAAGACGGTAAATTGTGGATAAGAGAGATGCACATGTTTAGATGGCATTTAACATAAACATTGATTCGTATTAATGAGCACAAAATCTGCCAAGAAAACACTCCTCACACCACCACCAACGCACGCCTGGATTATTCACACGAGTTGGGCCCATGGATTCATGCTACTGACACCAAACTCTGATCCAACCATCTGTGGCTCTCAGAAGAAATCCAGATTCATCAAACCAGGTTAGAATTTCCAGTCTTTGACTGTCGAGCTTTGGTGAGTCTGTGTCCACAGCTGCTTCACTCTTCTGTTCTTGGATGACAGGAGTGGACCCATACGTGATCTTCCACTGTTGCTTGCTCAGCTCCAACCTGTCTGGCCATTCTCTCATCAACAAGGTGAGTACATCCACAGAACTGCCTCCCACCATTCTGAGAAAGAATCTCAGGAGATCAGCAGTTTCAGAAACAATTTAACCAGACTCTCTGGCACCACAGTCAGAGTCACTGACACATTTTCCCACTCTGGTGTTTGATAAAGTTCCATGCATGATTTTATGAGACTTGCTGATCCTATATGATAAGCTGACTGGGTAGTTGAGTCAAAAATTGCAATAATTAAGGGATCAGTGAGAAATGAAAAGTAAAATCAATCCTTCACTGAATATTAGCCTCTAGTCAAAACACACACGTCACACATCTGCAAGTGAGCCAATCAGGCAGGCACGCTGCTAACAGTGGGAGGATTTCCTGTCTCTCTCCATGCACACTTCCTGTGCTAATAATCAGAGGAAGTATCCAGCTTGCAGCTTGATCCCGGTGCACGTATTCAACCCTTTAGTCATGCAGTTACAGAAAGTTAATGCCACAGAGATAAACAAGGCCCCAGTCCTGCGCTTTCACAGCAAAGCACATCTCAAGAACATTAGTAGGTCTTACATCTCACTGCAGTAAACATCTGCTCCTCAGGCAGGTTCCTGTCTGAACTTTAACTGAAAAACCAAAGAGGTAAAAGCGATCAGGCCCATGACACGGTAACAAACGGACATCTGTTAAATCATTAAAAAGAATGAAAACAGCACTTTACCAACCAGGGATGATACTGTTTTCACATGTTGTCTAAGATGTATCAGACACATTTATTTTCACTATTTCTGTAGGTTTTTTTTTTCTCTATTCTGTCAGTTCCAAGTTGTTATGATATTTTTCTGTCTTCTGCAGATAGCAATGAGCAAAAACTAAGGTCCACCCACAGAAAAAGGTCAAGAAAACAGCAATAAAACATTTCCCTCAACAACATGGACTGTGTGACTAATGCTCAGTTCAGCATAACCAGTGTTGAAAACAAGGTAAAACCATCATAACATGAGAAACAAGTAAAAGTAAAAACAGGAAAACCCACTACCTCCCCCTACTCTCCTTTTTCATGAATACACGCACACACTTACCTGGACATTGTCTTCTGTGACCTCGATCTCAGCCGTGTAGATGTAATCAACAAGTTTTTTCAGGGTTTGACCGTCCACCTCTCTGATCTCCACCTGATGGGCCTTGCTTTCACTCATATCACCTGCATGTAGAGAGAAAAACACAGTTAAGTAACAAAAACAAAGCACACACACACCAGATATGATGCAAAGCAAACATAAGTGCGTTCTCACCTGTGAACATGGCACAAAAGTAAGGGCTACAGGACGCCAGGACCACCCTGTGAGCTGGCACTTCAACGCTGCCAGCAATCAGCTGGACATCACACAGCATCTTTTTACTGAGGGATGAAGTGACGCAGAGAGACAGAGAGAAAAAACATTCATATGAGTTATCTAGATTTTCTAAATACTTGTGATAATTTGTAAAATAAACATGCAAACAAGAGCCAGGAAAAGGATGCATCCATAAAGACAAGTATGTGCAGGGCGGTGTCAACTACCAGGCTTGTATTTAAAGATTCCTATTCAATATATGAATCAAGATTTTTCAATATCAATATATCAACAACTGCATGTGTTGTTTTTAAAACATTTCAGAAGAATGGTACAGAAAAAACCAAGGAAGTGTGTCAAGTCAAGATGCTCAACTTGAAATGCAGCTTCTTGTTTAGTGGGAGCTTTGTACTTTGGCCTGTTCTGGCTCCTGCAGCAGACAAAGTGGACTCTCTGGTGTCTCTTCTGAAATGAATTTCTGCTTGAGATACAGCTGAGTATCGGTCTAATCTAATCTGCTCTAAAAAAAGCACTTCTTCTCAAATGTTTCTTTCAAGCTGTGGCCAGTAACTAGAAATGTGAGCCAGCAGCTTGACTCCAAGGTTCTTTTGAGCTGGCCTTATTGTTAAAAAATGTATCAGCTCCTCATCAGGACATTTCCAGACACATCGTATAAACCTAAGATGACTCCTGTCTGACCAACGAAGCAAATTACAGCCTCCTGACTAGCATATACCTTGGCTGGCCACACTGAAATTGCCATATCAATACAGGTTTCAATTTTTTTTCTCTGTGGAGACAAATATGACTGTCATCAACACACCTCCTCAGGTCGTTCATCAGCTGAAAAGCTTTCCTCATATGCGTCTGATTGAAGGTGTGCATCCCTCCGTTCATCGTGTCCTCCTCCGAGTCCGTGTTGCAGTTTGGACGCTGTGAGGCCGGTGTGGCCACCAGACTGGTGAGACACGAGAACAGTTATACAGACTACTTCATGTTTAATCTATATGGTTATAAACAGAGGATGAGACAGGGGTGATGCACTGGAGGTAGTGACAATAGTAGATTTAGTAAAAGTGAACTGGACATGAGTGAGCACCTCTGGCTTGTTCCTCTGTCAGCACGTTAGTTATTTCTGAACGCTTGAATAACATCACTGACCCATTCTTCTTTAATAATCCTCGATTCATCATAATCTCCTTTGGTCGTCATGGACGTCAGACATTACTGTAGAAACTGCACTATGGACTTTACAATAAGGATCTTATACATTCTTTTAAAACATTTTAATCCAGTGAGGATTTTCCTGAATAGCTAATTATATCTGAGGTCTAAGATCTGCATCACAAAATTGGGATTCTGCATAAAATTGAGCTTTTTATAAAATTAATACATGGTTGGAAGATATGACTCATATAGTACAACATAAAAAGAGGATTCTTTCTAGTTGTGTTCGGCAATTTTGGGGAAAAGTTATCAATAAATGAACAGAGTTGATTTATGGTCATTTCAGATTTCAGGTCTGTTTTGGGTTGGAGATCAGCTGACAATATCTTTGAAGCACTGCTCAGTCAATTACACAGCGAGAGGCAGAACAACACAAATATTTTTCCGATTACCCAGAGACCACACAGAAGAAAACCTGATGAGGAATTATAACTCTGTCACAGCATTAAACAACATGTAAGTTAACTTTTGGATTTAAACATTTATCCAAAGAGAATCACAGATAACAGAAAACATGACAATCAATCAGGACCAATGTAACAGGACAAGTGCTTGGTTTTACTTTTGAGCGTTCGTTTAAAACACTGTGCATAAACTACAGTTTATATTATATGAAGCCATTCTAACCCATCTCCTGTCCAATGAACAGTTTGGACAAATAATGATGCAGCACTCACACAGCAGGAGGAGCTTTTGTTAAGCTCTTGTCTGTGAATTAAGAAATAACACCAAACAACTTCTTTGAGTATAAAAAAAAAATCAAGATGTGTGTTTGTTTGGAGTTTGCAGTTCCAAGTTGTCAGGTGAGCTAGCTGCTAGCATGGCTAATCACAACACAACATAAGCTCACGGTAGCTTCCGTTAGCTGCCACCGGCGGCTGCCCATGCTGTGGTTAGCGCCAATGTTTGGATGCAACTTTACTTTCACTTCAGTGTCCATAAGAAGCGACTTGGTGCCAGTCACCTTCTGTGAACTCGGGCTCTGAGCAGCGTTGCTAGCTAACCCACCGAGGCTAACTAGTCAACAAAGCTAGCTTGAGTTGTTGAGTGTTCTGAGCGCCGCTGCTGGTTTGTGGTCGGTGTGGCCTGAACTCATGTCTGACAAGCAGCGTGAGCCACAGATTCACCGAACAACCCGCCGAGCTGAGCCAACTCACCCCAGCGACACGCCGTCCATCCTCCGTGTCCTCCCCTGGTCCTCCCTGGTCTCCCCTGGTCCTCCCTGGAGCCACGGAGCGCAGCAGGCATGAGCCGCACGGAGATCCTGTACTGGCGAGAGCACTCACTCCGCTGGAAAAAGGATGTGACTGACTTGGTGTTGGGTCTCATTCAAAAGTTATTGTTCACACAAACACACAAACACTGAAGGTTCAACTGATCATTACAACAAACGAACAATGGGATTAAATGGGATCAATTGTTATTTTTGTGTTTAAATGCAGTTGTATTATTTGTCTTGTTGCCTTTTCTTTATCTGTGAGTTATAAAGATTAATAATGTATACTGTGTATACTTTAACTTTAACTTACACTCATGCACAAATGTAAGGGTCTTTATTTCTACATATGTATATCTTTTATTTCTTTTAGCCTTACTTGATTTTTGTATTGCTATGTTTATACCTGCTTTTGCTCTTTCACCTCTTTCTCAGGGGCTCTATAACGTTTGAATTTACCTCCGGGGATTAATAAAGTTCTTCTGATTATGATTGTTTTCGTTTTTGAAATGATTTAGATAAAGTTATTATTATTATTATTATTAGTTTGTACTATACCTGTCCTGTGTGTTCTTCAGTCTCTATATGTACTAGTTTTGTTGATCTTATCATTTTTAATTATGGAGCAGACCCTATCAAATTGAACTTTGTCTTATCAACTTTGTGTCCTGTGTTTTTAATGAATTTTAATAACGACCTCTGCATTCAACCCCTAACCCAAACAGGAGAAGGTAAATCCACAGAATAATCAACATTTTTCAATATCAATTAATATCAAGTTTCACTGGTGCTTGATTCACATGTTTCTTTCCCCAAACGGACAATATCATCACTTTACAACCTGATTTTTTAGGGTGAAACTGTTAATACTTCTCAGATGTGGGACATGTTAACAGAGTCAAAAACAAACAGGGAGAAGCTGCATTCAGTTTCAAGCATATCAGCAACAAACTCCCAGAGAACTGTGCTCCCCTTTATTATATTTTACTGTTACAAGTCCTAATTGTCATTTCATATTGACATGTCTTTTATACAGTATGTTGTCTTAGTCACTTTTTATGTCTAATGTGCAGCACATTTAATTATTTTGCTCTTAAAAGTGTATTTCCTTGCCATGAAGGTTTAAAGTAAACCCTGTTCTGATTCAAAATGAGGCCATCACACCCATAACTTACCCAAATAAAATATGTAGGAATATAAACCTATGTTTTTGTTTTTGGTGGTTATGGTTTCATCTAGGTTTGTCTGCAGGGTTATGCAAATTCTACTGCACAGATTACCATGAAGCTCAGTGGAACAAACCCATACGATAGAGAGTCTGGGAGGGGGCAAATCCAGGAACGTTTAATGGAACTTGAAGTAAAAACTTAGCAACATGTTTCTGGGACTATGCATGTTTGCATTTTGGTGCAGATTCACATAAAAACCTAGATCTAATGAATTTAAATGTGGTTTCATAAGGAAATGGCTGGGACTTGAGGAAGGCATGTGCTCTGAGTGCATTTCTCATTTGATAATAGCACAATTATTTCTCCCTGTCCAGTACTCATTGCTTGTCAGTGTATTCACATTCTAAGAGTTTTGAAATCAAATAATCAGGCCACAATTCCACACCTACTCTGTAACCATGAGGTACCAGCAAGACATTCACATGCTATAACAGGAAAGAAAACTCAACCGGTTATTCTGGAAATACCTGCTGTCACGGCTAAACTGAAAATCCTCACCACAACTGAAGGCTAGTTACAAAATGCAACTCAACACGTAATAAAGAAACCCAATCCATCAATAACAAATAAAATGTTCATATAATGTCAATACCAACCCGTGTCATTTAGCAAGTAAAAACATTAAAGTCAGTATTAAGATTAATCACATTTCACCATGCGCCTACATGGGAAACATTTTTCAATCCTTGAGGCTGAGTTTGTGCTATTGTATTAAAGGCTGCATCTGAAATTATAAGCATTACATTACTAATTTTGGTGAAACACAATCAGCTTCCTGATTCTTATGTGTAAAATGGCCGATGAACATGAGGCACCATTTTTTTTTCAGACAACAGCTCCCCCTGGTGGGGGCTCAAACCGCAATGATTGCTTCCTGGTAAAGGTCACTCGTGACTTAAATTAAAACTGCGAGATAAGATGGATTTTCAAAACATTAAAAACTTTAATAAAAGCAGAATACAATATATGGGGTGAACTGAACACATGGATTTCAAACAGTTTTAATTTAAACAAAAGCCTGGACGCCTTATGGGACGGGATAGGTGGATAAAGGTCAATCTACAATCAACAGAACAGTACGAAAAAAAGACTTTGTCACGAGAAGTGTTTTTAAGATCAAGAAACTCAGTTGAGTCCCACGATGCCGGACACTGCCACCAACTTCACCTAAAACCCTGAGTTCATGAATCAACAGTAACACATGTCTGCAAGACAAACAAACTCACATCTGAGTCCAGAAGCAGTGACTGACATTGATTACAAATTCAAAACAACCCACCCCCCCCCCAAAAAAAAACATAAGTACAATTCAATAATTCACAATTCTTAGTAGTAAAGTCCACGTGTGGAATAAGAGGACGTGTGGGGGTCCTGGAGGAGGGTGGGGGGGCCAAGACAGTCTCATTCATTCATTCATGGTGGGTGATGGGCAATACAGAACAACACAGACCCCTCACCCCCCTCCACCTGGGCTTGTGTACTGTGTCCGTGTGTAGATTCAAGTTCAGATTTTTTCCCCATGAGCATCTCAGACATGGAGGGTGTCACTGATAGCCGCCGAACCCGCCACCTCTGCCGTAGCCACCGCCTCTGTTGTAAGGAGCCCCGCTCCTGTAGGAATAGTTGTCCGCCTTCATTGCACCATAGTTGGAGTGCTGCTGTCCGTAGCCCGCCCCAAAGTCACCATTGTTGTAGTCGCCTCCCTGGTCGTCGTATTCTTCGTAGCCCCCGTAGCCTCCACCGTAACCTCCTCCGCCGCCGTTGTAACCCCCACCGTACCCGTACCCGCCTCCGTAACCACCGCCGCCGCCGTAGCCTCCCCTGTAGCCGCCGCCTCCTCCTCCTCCTCTTCCGCCGAAGCTCGGCATCCCTCTCCCCCGGCCCCTGCCTCCTCTGCCGCCGCCGCCGCCGGTGGACATCTCCTGCTTGGTCAGAGCCTTCTTCACCTCCACCTGGTTCCCGTCGATGTTGTGGTATTTGGTGAGCACCGCTTTCGTGGCGGAGTCGGTGTCTTCGAAGTAGACAAAGCCGAAGCCCCTCTTCCTGCCGGTCTGCTTGTCAGAGATGATCTCGGCCTTCTCCACCACACCGAACTTGGAGAAGTAGTCGACCAGGTGGTCCGACTCGACGTGGTCCTTCACGCCGCCGACGAACACCTTCTTGACGTTGGCGAGGACGTCCGGCTTGTTGGCGTCCTCTCGTGCTATGGCCCTTTTCAGTTCCACGTTGTTGCCATCGACAACATGTGGCTTAGCCGCCATTGCTGTGTCGGCCTCCTCCGGTGTCGAGAAGGTGATGAAGCCGAAGCAGCGAGACCGCCCGAGCTGCGGGTTCATTACCACCACGCAGTCGCTGAGCGCGCCGAACTGCTCGAAATGACCGCGGAGGCCATCGACGGTGGTCTCCACATTCAGTCCTCCGACAAACAGCTTGCAGAATGTGGTCGCCATGACTGAAAGTCTTGTGGGATGGAAGCCTCGGAGCGTCGCTCTTCTTCTTCAATGAGACGCGTTCGGGCGTTCCGCTCCACTTGCTCGTCGCCGTAAGACGTGGCAGTCACCGATTGGTCGGCTTGAAAACGCTCTCCACCCTGATTGGCCGAAGAGCGGTTTTCGTTGCTGGCGCCTTCACGTCCCGTCCGAAATCTTGACTATCTTCTCTCGAAGCGGTGTTTTTCAAACAGTGTAATCCCCATATAAAAAAAAAAAAAAAAATCACTACTACACTTCTGTGGTATTTAATACAAAGTATAAAAGCAATTCATTGAGGTACAAATAGTTAATATAGTTTCAGCACAAGCTTGGCTGCAGTAATACCACATGACAATATAAAGAGCAAACAAGGTGAAGCTATGTCCCCGTAAAATGTAAAGGCCTTCTGTTCTTTAAATATATCAGAAATCTGAAGTATGTCTGAGCAGGATAACAACTCAAGCCATAGTTTGAAAATAGACGTAAACAGAAACATTAAGTACTCAAGTGTCCACACTGTAAATCAGCCAACCTCAATGTGGCATCACCTGACACAGGCTTAAAATGGAAACTCATTTATTAACTGAATACCAATTGTCGGACTCAAACAAAACTTCAACTATCGACACGACATTCGTTATTTACTTTAAGAGAGAAATGTTCACACCGGTCTGACAAAAAGAAGAAAAGATGCACCCTCACTCAAACGTCTTGTAAAATAGTTTCGCAATCAGGGTGAATGGAGTGACTCACTCACTTCTCGAATGTTCCTGACTCCGTAAAACACATTCATAGACTATCATGTTAAACGTGTGGACAGTGTTAAAGATCTCATATCTGTGAAAATGCAGTTTGGTCTTGATCTTACAGCTTCAGTTTTTGCTCTCCTCCTCCAGGCTAATGCAAGGGGGAAAAACTCTTCAGGTCACTTCTTCAATTGATTTCCAAAGAATCAACCTCACACAAGCACGTTGCAACACGCCCATGTTTTAAGCCATTACTTGCTGTGATTAATCACTGTACGTTCTTGTCTACAGGAATGCTGCAGTATCGGCTTACAGAACCCGTCGTACTGTTACACCAGGTCCCCAACTTTGTTTCTTAAAATAAAATCCTTATTTTTACATGTTTGAGAACGTAATTGTATTCATAGGGAAACTAGGAGAGGCACATTTTAACTGCCACCTACTGAGATATAGAAACCAGGCTCCAAATAGAATCACACACTTTACTTGGTGTCCAGTCAAGAGGCTCAGATCATGACATTACTAGTCCATCCAAGTCTCACACCAATACCAGCACAAAAATTGAAAACATTGCAGTACTGCAAATTCACAAAAATGTATTCCAGAAAGAGAATGATTTCAAACTCTGGTATAGATCATCCAATTTGGGGTCTTTGGCCTCACCAGCTTGAACATGAAGATATTCAGTGACCCTATGTAACAGGCATCCCCGGGAGAGACGTTCAACCAAACCATGCTCAATATAAAAAAGTAATACAGCAAGTCTGTTGGTATAAAAATATATAGAGATTTATTTTGAAATCATCAAAAGCCAAACCATCTTAACAGAGGTTTCTTGTCCTAAGAAATGATGGGGCATCATTGACCTATAAAAGATAAAACACAAAGTAAAATTTACACTCCGCTCACCACGTCAAGTATCACTCAAACAGTACTTCAGACACATTTGAACAAGTTGTGTCTCACAAGCCATGTACATCAGACAGGATTTAGTTTAAGAGATACTCTTTCCTCAGATTTTAGAGATTCATTTACTGTATGAGTTTGTTTCGCTTGTACCATTACAGCTCAGACAGCATGTACAAATGATAATGCAAATAGCCAGATTTTTTGTAATTAGCTCAAATAACATTTCTGTGCTTATGTTAGCATCAGGATGCATATATAGCAGATGCACAATTTGCAGCAATCTTTACATTTTTACAATAAAGCAAAACTGATTAAACATGACAGCGCCATGAACAACAAAATTTTGGTCTGCAGAATGTGACAATGACAGAAACTGACTTTGATATTAGCCCAAATGTGCGAGTCTCAGACCAATTGGTGTCTGAAAACTGGTATAGCTATGAGCCTTCTGTGTACCATCACTGGGACACATGGTGACATACCTGCATAATTCAGTTTCCTGGTAGGAGCATTTTAGGTTAAAGGTTCAGTGTGTAGAATGATGTGTCAAGTTTCATGTTGCAGCTGAATACTCCTCATCTCACCCCCTGCACAACATGATAGAGAACCTGTGGTGAACTTACAAAAAGTTTTAGTTTGTCAAGTTTGGATGACGGTAAAAAACATGGTGGCCTCCACAGAGAGGACCCCCCCCTCCATGTAAATATAAAGGGCCAATTTTATGGTTGAGAAAACCACAATTAATACAATTTAGATGAAACGCACCAGTGGAAACATCACTAGGATTATTTTATATTCAATTTCTGCCAAAAAATTCCTTTCACCTAAATCTTTCACACTGAAGCTTTAAACACACTTATTGATCATAATTAAAGTTGTATGCATATGATAAGAAAACATGGGAACAATGCAACTAATAACATTAAATTTACAATACCTGAATAAACTTGGAAGTCGGATAAATTTTGTATAACTTTTATTCAATGTGAACATACATGTGTGTACCAAGGTGTCGAGTTTCCATCATTGTCTGAAGGTAGATTTTCCTTTTTAACTGATATAAAGACCAATCAAGCCATTCAACTATATTTCTGCTTTTCCTTAAAGAAACGCAGTAAAAATATACTATTAACGTCTATGGGATTATTACACTATGTAGTACAACATAATTTATTGTACTTTGATAAGTTAGGTTGAGCGAGTATCTCACCTGAGGACAATCATTTTAATACTTACATAATATGCAATGTATCTTCAAATAACCCATTACTCTTTGGGAATGCAGGTTATACTTGTAGCTTTTGTTGATAGACAAATTTTGATTATTTTCTCATATGTCTTGGAGCAATACCTCTTCAGGTCAGTTTAAGTAAAATAAAAATAAAACATCCTAAAAGGGAATCCACTAATGTCCACATCACCTTAACCTGCAATGAAAGGCCACATCAAGTAATAATGCTTCATTTGATAAAAAGTCAGTAGTCAGGCAGTACGTTCACTTCCCTGATGACAACCCCCTAATCTTCAATCAAACCCTCTTGGGTCAAAACCCCTGTGTGATGCATCCAAATTCATTTTGACCACACAGTGGAATCCGTTGTGAAATTGACTTCACCTGAGGGGGAGAAGACACAACCACTCTCGGTCCCCCCGCCAGCATGGAGACACACACCCCATCGTTTTCAGGGGTGATGTCCTCGTACCCAGGTTACCAAAGCAACCTGAGGGAGATGGGAGAGAGACAAAGTGAGAAACTGAACAGAGCACAGTTTTCTGGAGGAGACACCAACTTACTCGCTCCATTATTTCATTTAATGGTGGAACAAAATTTGGGTCTCCTTCCACCCAATTTCATAAAAGACCAAATTAAGTAACCCCCCCTTAATTTAAGATTAGCTACATATAAAAAGGCGCATTGAGCTGTGTTAAGTTGTCTTTAATAAATGGTGCACTGGTGCACCATGTCAAAGATATTCCAAACATGGTTGACCAACACAGAGTGAAGACAGGTTGATTTACATACCTAGTTTGCTGGATGTGGATATCCTAAAGAGATATTTCAGACTCCTATCACAATCGACCCCAGGTAATCAACAGGGTCTTGATGTAGCCTACAAACAAACTGCTACGGCTATTTTGGCTGGGATAGCCTACTGGAATAAGGAGTAAGAACACCTAAATGTAGGAATAATCAAAGATAAATATCAGAGCCCTCATGTCGACATAAAGATATGTATTAAAATATGTTAAAAATGAGAAATATAAAGAAGGAATATATATTAGCAAAGGTCAAACCCTACAAAGCCTACATGCATTGGCTGTGGGTAGACTACAACCATTCATTTTACCCACCTGAGAGTAAGGGAATAAACTGTGGGTCAGAACTAGAAGATGTCACTTATAAAACCTGTGGATGAACTTGAGGAAGCCTGGTTAAATAAGTAAAATAACTAAGCTAAGTGGTATAACGTTTTATTTAAAATGAACATACATAAGCATACCAAAGTGTTTTAACAGTAGATTCGATCTCAAGACATGAAAGTATACAATATACATTAGATATTGCTACAGGTAAATGGAAAAATGAACAATACTTAAGTTGAAACTAGTACTATGCGTGAGGAGTTTGAATACAATATAAGGGAAAGGAAACAAGGAAACTGGATCCTGCAGTATCACGTTCCCGCCTGAATGACCCAAAGTAAATAATCATACAAATCGGTGTTTTATCAGAATAACACAGCTATGAAATCCAAAATCCACATAACATGCTTTCTCATCCTCATACATTGAAATGACACTAGTTTACTCCAGGAAACAAAGTATAATCTAAATTGCTTTTAAAAATGTCAGCAAAAAACAATCCTACATTGAAAAGCTTTTCAAAAAACAACGAGTGAACGCAAATAAAAAAATTAATGATCTAATCGACAACCACACTGGCGTCTGTGTGGGTCCATAAAAGGGATCATTGTGTGTTTTATTCTTGTTTATGTGTCCTAGTAGAACGGCAAACAGCTGCTCGGTATTATCAGGCTTTCTGGGAAGTGACCTTCCTACCTGTTTGGGGTCTTCGTTATGATTAGAGGGGGTCTCTGTGTCCATATCTCTGCCATGGTTGGGTTTCACGACAGACGCCCCGTAACTGAATTTGAGTTTAGGCTGGAGGTCGCTTGAGGCGGGGGATGGGTGGTCGGGTTTCCATTGTGCAGTCTCGTTCAGTAGCCGCCGCCATAGCCCCCCCTCTGGTAGCCACCGCCGCCGCCGCCTCTGGTGTAGGGAGCCGCGCTCCTTTGGCCGCCGAAGGGCCCTTTCATGGGGCCGTAGCCGGAGGAGTGCTGGCCGTAACCGCTCCCAAACTCGTTGTAGCCGTTTCCACCACCGTAACCACTCCCCTGCTCTCCATAGCCGCCACCATATCCGCCGTATCCCCCGTAGCCGCCACCGCCGCCATTGTAGCCTCCGCCATTTCCGTAGTTGTAGTTTCCGCCGTACTCCCTGTTGCCGTAGCCATTTTGATTTCCCCTCATGCCTCTGCCCCGGCTCATACCCATGCCGCCTCTGCCGGATGCCTGCATCTCCTGCTTGGTCAGAGCTTTCTTCACCTCGACTTTGACGCCATTGATGGAGTGAAACTTCACCACGACAGCCTTGTCGGCCGCATCGTGATCGTTGAAGTACACGAAGCCGAAGCCTCTCTTCTTCCCGGTCTCCTTGTCGGAGATGACTTCGGCCTTCTCGATCTCACCGTACTGGCTGAAATGGTCCATCAGGTGCTCTTCCTCGATCTCGTCTTTCAGACCACCGACGAATATCTTCTTCACCTTAGCGAGGGCCTCCGGTTTGTTGGCGTCCTCCCTCGCCACGGCCCGCTTCACCTCGACCGAGTTGCCGTCGACGGTGTGCGGCCTAGCCCCCATGGCGTTGTCGGCCTCCTCCGGTGTGGAGTAGGTCACAAAGCCGAAGCAGCGCGACCTCTGCAGCTGCTTGTTCACCACCACCACGCAGTCGGTCATGGTGCCGTACTGCTCGAAGTGCTTGCGCAGGCCATCGCTGTCGGTGTCCACGTTCAGTCCGCCGACGAATAGTTTACAAAGCTGGTCGCTCATTTTCAGACAAAGGAACCGAGACACGGGCTGAAGTGACGGAGTCGTTAGATTATCTCAAAATGGTGGCGGAGGAAGGCGAGCGCAGCTGTATTTATACCGGAGAGCGGCGCCTCCTCTTCCGGTCCGCTACGAGCTCATTAAAATCTCTCTCTCTCTCTCTCTCTCTCTCTATATATATAAAAATGAATATAAACACCATAAACAAGTAAGAAATGAAAAATACAAGTAACCATGATATCATCCCTTGAACAAATCATTTAATAAAAACGGTGACTCATGTTAATAAAGGTTAAAAGCAGATCCAGTGCTTGTATCTCAAACTTGACTCATACACGTTGTTTATCTTACTGTTTGGCGTTTTAAAAAAAAAAAACAAATTCAACATGACTGTCTGAAATGAGATCTTTCATTCACACAAGGAAATATGACACTGCAAGAATAATACAGCTGTGAACTGATAACCATTTAATTGATTGATATATTACAATTATCATTTTATACTTAATATGTAACTGTAATTTGTGTAACTCGTGTAGCTGTGGAACTCTGTAGTGATATTTTTTCGCCAAATAATCAGTTTTATGAGATTAGAAAATGATTAGTTCACCGAAATCTAAAACCTTGTTTGTGGCAGTGACCTCTGTGATTTATGTTTACAAATCCTGGCTTTGGAAAAAAATCACAGGATTAATATATTTGTACTGACAAATCTTGCAACTGTTCCTACTAGCAGTTTACTCATGTATCACCGTGAACCATCACCGTTCAGTTTAGATCTACATGTATACTTTTGTTTTTCTCTGTTACACCTCCCCCCGAAAAAAACAAGATGCCAGGCAGCTTCCTCCGACCATTGATATTCAGATAGTTTCAGGTGACACAACACTTTTCGTTTCCATGTGATAGGAGCTGCAGCGAACAGTTTAACTCGTCACACCAACCCCCGCTTATGTTAATTCTGGGTTTAGAGCCCATAGAGCAGACATTGCAAATAAAGAAACACTGAAATCAAAGTTCACTGAAATCTTTATGAGGCATATTGCTATGAAACAATCCCTTTATCTATTCTACCAACACAAACACACAGGACAGTCTGTGGCTTTACAGATACAGTTCCAAACCATTAATGGGACACAAATGAGGCATCTTTTGGTTTGTCAATAAACAACAAATGGAAGAAATTACTTACCACAAGACCGACCATGTTCAACATAAAACTGCATTTTTGGATTGTTTTGAATGGGTGTTGTTACATTTTTACCATGTAAGAGTTAGTTGTGCGTTAGCTGACACTGAAGTCAACTTTAATGTCCTACTAATCCACATTCCAGGTTTGTGTACATCATGTGCTGTTCCCATTTGCAGTCCATCGTCTAGAAAAAGTCAAAGGTCAGGTAATGTTTTTACAATACTCAAAGCAAAGTTTTACTTCTCGAACTGCAAGAAAAGCAGGATGGTTCAACATAAAGAAAAGATTGTGCGCGACAGAAAGAAACTACTGATGAATTTGGCCGAGTAGACCCTGTAGTGTTGGTACCACAAGCAGCTTTAACACATGCAGACGCAAAAACTATCTGCACAGTCCTTTGTTATCTTTTTCATTGTTGGAAAATATAGTAATAGAATTTAAAATATGTGAAATTAAAAAATCAAGTAGAGTCAAATTTACTTAAGTTAGTTTTATGTAAATTTCCAGTCTTTTAGCTGAAGAAAATGAAGCTGAGTTGAGCTGAAATTGAAAAACGCAAAAAGGAAGACAATTTTGTTTATCCAAACAAAGTTGGTTATCTTGTTTGAATATAGTGTAATTTTCATTAAGGTGGTAAATTCACCACAGTTGATGCAACAGCTTCCTCGGCATCGGTGCGTCACACTGGACAACCAGTTAACTTGAGGATACTGCAGTTCATGTCAGGTCAACAGCCAAGAAAAAAGACTTGTTCAGGTCGCACAACAATCTTTGCAGGAGGTTAATCTTCGTCATCATCACTTGTCCCCAGAAAACACTCCAGAATTTACACATGAGGACGACCAGTTTCTATCTAATATTTACATTTGAAAAGGAGCAGCCCAATCAGACTCCAGTTTCACAGCCAAGGTGGGTGAAATGCAAAAAGGTTAGTAGGCAGTTTTAAGGAGGCAATTAATATATGCCCTCAACAATCCATCAAACAGCACACGGCTAAAAGACAACAGCATGCATCACATAATAAGATGCTACTATGAGACCAGGCAGCCATGTTTGTCTTTAAAAGAAAAGCCCAACTCTCGTGTTAGTCTGCTTAATGTTGTGAGTCAACACAGTCCTGCCACGTTATTTAAGTAACAAATGAACACGACTAGTAAAAGGAAAAAAGGCAAAGTAACCTCAACAAGATTTTATTTGTTGTAGTAAAATCAAACATCTATCTAGTCGTTTTCAACCCCTCAGTCCTTTCTCTCGTCTTTAATCTTGAGAGTGAGGGCTTGTAAGATAATGACGATGTTAATAGTCCATGTGCTTGAATGAATCAGATCGAACGACTTGTAGCCACAGCTAAAACAGTCTGAAAGGAGTCGAGCCCAGTTTCTGTGTGATAGAATTGGGGGGAGTAGGTGAAAAGGAATCAATCATGTAATTTGGGGGGGAGGGGTTTGTAGGGTATTTTGCGTGTCTGTGTGGGGGAGGGTGGTAGGGCACTAGATCACAGCTCCACGAGTGGCAGGTCACAGGTGATGGATGACCGTTTTCAATCACGTCGACGTTCAGATGGGGTTTATCTGAGTGATCACATGATGTAGACCTTCTCAGCCTGAGAGAAGTTGAAGACTTCTTTGGTTCTGGGACACACCACTTTGTCATCTTGGCGGATGGACAGAAGGGACTGGAAGAGACAATAAAGAGAGGATGATGAATTAAGGAGAAAACTATCTGAGGTTTTCTTAATTTTAAAAGCTGTACACAGGGACTGTGTGTTCATCTTGTGGTATACTCACATTGTAGCCGTACACATATCCATTAGGAAGCATCATCGGAGGGTTGTTTTCATTCATGACCTCTCCAGAGATCTTGCAAACTAGTCTAGAGTTGGCACAATGGGCCATGGGTAAGGGCTGGGCCAACTTGTTTAGAGATTTACTGCACACAGGGCAGTCTGGGTTCTTTGAGGTACCATCCTCCTTGTAGCACTGACTGGAATGGGCAATGAGGTTAGGGACCAAAACTTTATGAATTTATCGCAGGTCTCACAGCAAGAGAAAGAGCAAAGAAAGTTAGAATGGGCAATGGAACCTATTTGGCAGAACTTATTTTAAATCCCATGTCTGTTTTCATTTTCATTCATTATAGAAGAAATCACATGCAGGTCTGCTCCATGTGTGTTAAACCTATTGGATCCAGTCACGACATGGCTGTCACCTTGCCAGCATCAATCCCAGTTTGCAGTGTAGCTTAATAACCCTTCACTGATTTTACTGAATTACACTCAACAGGTTAAAGTTAGGTTTCACCTCCCTCTCCCTGGCTTGATTCACAATTCCTCCCTGTCTCTCAACATCACTATAATTTGTTTAATTTCTTTTTTTGGCAACAACACTATATTCACCAATGCCAGGCAGCATCAAACACATGTCCAACCCCGGTCAAGAGGGGTTTGTGATAGAGAGTCAGCTGACATGACTCACCGACACTGATAGGACCCCTGACTCAAGTACGACCTGCATCACTGTGTCATCCTGAAATATTGGAAACAGAGTATGGAAGGATACGGTGTCTTAATGGCAGACAGCCCAGCCTGTAGGGTTATAGTGAACACAGAGTTGTTTCCAAGCTGGTGCAGTCTGTAGTTGTCATATCGGAACTGCTGGATCAGCATCTTCCAGCGGGCTGGATCCAAAAGATCCTGAAGCAACAGAAAAAAGACTTTGACACCAACAGTAACCCAGTAATTACCAGTTGTGAGGTGCAGACCAGTGTTACATAAGCAACTAAACTCCCTACAAATTAAACTGAAAAACAGGACAGACACATGCAAAAGCTATTTATGTTTTTACACAAATTATGTTTTGATTGCAAAACTTTTGGATTACACAGACTTGAAAAGTAAACATACTGCAGGAGTTCAACTTAATTGCATCTTTACTTTGATCATAGAGCGAAAAACAATGAAATGAGGGAAATGAGATGTAGCCCACTCCAGTGTTTCCACTATAAACATTTTACAGAGATAAATGACAATAAAAAGGAAAATATTATTTTATAAATGTGAGATATATAACTTTTGTAAAGATGCCATTGTCAAACTTTATTTCTCAGAAGACTTTGAACTGCTCCAAAAGATTAACCAGTTAAAAACAGATTCCTATGGACCGGTCTGAAGTAGTGGAGAAGAGGGAAGGGTTTTTATTTTTCTTCAAGAGGACACAAGGCCATCTAGTGGTTTCTCTGTTGCTGTAGCACGTCCTCTGCTTGATCTCTAAAAAGTGGTCTATTATCGCTCATCAAAAATTAATGCCATTAAATAAATATCTGTTGATCCACAGTTTGCTAAGTCATGTTGTCCATCGTGTTTTAACAGCTGCTTTGTATTACACAGAGTGCTGGAAGAACATTTCAGTGGTTTCTGTGCCAGCTCTTATAATGACACAGAGATTTCCATGTGTGAATCTAAGAAACCCACAAGTTTAGCACAGAATCCTCTTGGTGGTATGTGTGTCCAATAAAATCTTACACATTTGCAATGGTTGAACCGTCGTTACCTTGTATGGAGAGATGTGTGTGTCTGATGGGAAGGCCAGCATCCCCATCACCTGCCGAACCTCATCCAACTGTCCACCCTCTGCTTGGCTGAAGTGTTTCCTAGCATGTCTGGCACAAACAAACACACACACACATTAACACAATCAACGGGTAAAAGATTGCAAATGCTAATTATTTTTTTAAACATAAAAAAGGTACAGTTGATGTAAGGATTAGGGTCAAACTGTTGCTGTGTTTGAAATGATACAGTGTGTATGTGTGTGTTGTGGTTCTGTGTCCAGTACCTGACTGCATCCATACGTTTGTTTTGTCTGATGAGCTCGATGAACTCCTGGATTCTCAAACTAAACTCAAGACAGCTCTGTCGGTAAAAGAAACAAAACGATATTTAAAGCACTGAAATGCTGCAGAACCCTCAGAATTTATCTTTTGCTTTTTCTGAACTGAGGACGTACTGCAGCGTGGATGTAACTGATCTCTTTTATGTAACTGCTGTGGTGCTGGAAGATTCCATAGCTGCCTTTCAATGCTTTATCGAACAAATGTTTTTTTTAAAAGAGGGTAAAAAAAAAAAAAGTCCTGCTGCTGTAGAGCTTGAAAAAGAGTGCAGCATTTGGTTGGCGGTAGATTCCTAATCCTCTTGTGACATAATAATTCAGTTTTCACAAATGCTCACAGCAGGAAATAAAAAGCATCAGATCAATCTTGAAAGCTTCTAATATTTTTTTCTTTCAGCAATGTTGACTTTGCTAGTTACAGTAAACTGAGATGATTATCATGCATTCCTGCAGGTCTGATCTAATTCTTCTAATAGACAACCCTACTACTTAGTAGTTCTGGTTTAATGGGATAATCCCAGGATTAACACCTGAGTGTAAAGGGATTCTAATCCATTACAATGTTGCGGTTAAGTTCAAATGTAAGAAAGTATATAAATCTAAGTATTTGTCATATAAGTATTCTAGTGGCTAAACTTTAACTGTTGTAAATTAACTACCTTCATTTTACGGAGGCGAGACTTGTTGTCGTGGCACCAGGCTAGACAGGTGGCAGTCTCCTGCCTCTCCAGAGACTCCTCCACCTCCTTAGCCGTGAGGAACATTTCAATGTTCACCAGATCCTAAAAATATAGAAAAGTCAACATGTAAAAGGGGGAAACTAAAAACAAAAGTACACTCGTGACCCGATAATTCAATTCAAAAAGCAGACACACACCCACACACACTCAATAATGTTGTATAAACTAAAACTGATAGTCAGGGTCAGTTAGTATTAACTTATAAGACATACAGTCAATCACCTCTATACCGCTCTGTCTGGCCAGTTTAACAGCTGTGTTGTAGTAGCCGCAGCGCAGCAGATGTTCCACCATCATGCGATCCATGCGTTTCTTCTTCCACAGGTTGACTGAGGCCAGCTGGTCGCTGCTGTGCTCCTTCAAGTGCTCGATGCGACGCTTACACAGCTTGGCACTCTCGTCTTCTGCCTGGATGGACTCTGCAGCCTATGTGACACACACACTTATTCTTACTGTACTTATCACATGCAGGGAGATCAGTGCATTTGTCTCTTCACCAACTGGAGTATGATGTTATGTGACAAACATCTGCTGCACATTTCAGCACAAAGGTAAAAACAGCCATGATTGCTTAAGGACAGTTATGATGATCGCCAAATCACATATATTTATTTTCTGTTTTGCATTTTAGTATGCACATTTTACCAGACATTGTGTATGTTTGTATCTATAAGAGCACGTGTTGTGGCTTGCCTGTTTGTCTACATCTGTATCCCTCACCTTCCTTTTCAGAGCGCTGAGTTTCTCCACCACCCCATCCAGCAGTGACACCACAGAGTCAACAACCGGGAAGCTGCTCAGGGTCTTCTCCAGCTCCGCCACCACCATTGTCACGTGACTGGTCTCCCGGTCGATGTTCTTCTGAGCTGCTCTGAAACGTTTGTTCAGAGTCTCGTAGGGGACCTGTGAAGACAACAGCATTGGATAGTTTTACCTCGGTGTATGAAGGTTTGGCAGCGGCACAGCGCTAACGTGCAGATCGGTGCATTTCTCCAAAGCGTCATCTTAACACATGCAAACTAAAATTCAATAGATAGCGATCCTTTATAGTCACTGTTCTGAAAGGCGTGGATTTTAAAGGCTAATTTAAGTTCAGAAATACTGTAAAACTGCTCATTATATAATATGACTGCTATTAAGGTATTATCTCATATGGCAGTCAAACGTTAGCATTGATGTAAGTGAGCTCTATTAACATAAATGAAATATAATCAACATAATTATGTCTTAATAATTAAGTATCACCCCTAAAATAAGGGATCGTGAAGTTTTGTTACCTTACAATGAACCCTTTATATCTAAAGAGGGGCCTTTTGTGTTTTGTTACCTAATCGCCACCGTAGATTCACCTTTAAGCTTGAAAAGGGAGAGTGAGGCACAGGGTTTTCAGTTGGTTGTAATCTCCAACCTCATTGTTTTCGTTTTTAGCTGCTGGACCAAAATGCACAAAGGGCCAGTAAAGCTCAGATCTGCTGGCCGTTAGGCAGCAGGGAAAAGTGATGTTAGACACTGATATTTGGCTCAAGTATATAATCTGGTCAAATTTGATGGTGATTTCCACTAAGAATTGTGTCATCTTTATTTTCATAATAATAATAATTCGTCACAACAAATTCAAAAAGTCTAAATAATAATCACCCAAGAATAAGAATACTTTATACATCTTCTATTAACACTAAGCACTGCGCATAATAAAAACACAATTCACTGTTGTGGTTCATTCTTGATCCCTGCATAAAACAATGAGGCGAGCTTTGATCCATTGGGAATATTTTCTCTCTTTTAAGTTGGGGCCAAGTTAATTTCACAGATCACTAAGATGGGAGAGAAACATCAGAGAAGTGGAACATCACAGGATGTTGTTGCTTTGCTGGAATTTGGGGAATTCAGCTTAATTTTGCTGAATTAAAGCCCAGAATAGGATGCCGTGATTCGGATATTTAATTGTACCATGGAACAGTTTCATACGCACTAGTAAATATTCATCGCTGCTCTGCTGGCAGAAAACAGCAGGCTTATTCTGCTCAGGAATGTGCACAGCCGCTGTAAGAGACAGGAAGGATGGATAAGACGTTGCCTTTACATCGGTCTCTCCAGCATTTCTTATTCCTGGTGGCTACATTAAGACCATGGTTTGCCACAGACGCATTTAACTGGTCAGTGTTTGACCAGCAAACACTGATTTTTAGTGACACACTTGGCCAAAGATCAGCAGATTAATTGAGAGTCACAAAATAAAGGAGCCAAGAGAGATACTGATCATTACAGCAAGGTGTAGATCAAGTCATATTACCTCTGTGATTTCTGTAAGGTTGGGCAGTACAGTGACATAACCATCAAGAGATATATCAACTGGTGAATATGTACTACTTCAACCCATATGACTCCGATACCTCCTCTCAGAGGGTTTTCTGCTGATACAGAGGACTCTTTGTCCCCCGACATTAAAAGCTGTGGGGATCTGGATCATTTTTATGTTACGTAGTGCAAGATCAGGGATTTCTGCAACACTAGCAGAAATTAATGTGACTGATAGAGGAATCATTCATTTTATGGCCAATGACCTGTTTGGCACTTTGTCACACCAAATTGGACACAATCAATTATTTTGCATCAAGATCCAAGTATTGTTCCCTGGGAAACTGAGGAAAGTGTATAAAAATAAACAAAAAACTGCTCTACCTCACTGTTAAATAATGATCATTTAAAAAAAGTTACTGCATCGGCCCCTTGATCCCAATCGGCACCAGAATTTCATGGGTTCTTACCTGACCCATACCACATCCTCCATGATAACCTGTCCTTCTCCATACAACCTTGATCAGATTGACAGTGAACATGTAATTCAGTCATGTTTCAGACAGTAATTAAGGTGCCAGACTGACACTGTGTGACTGGTTGTCTTCCATGATTTGTTGTGAGTGAACTCATTGCAAGAGACACTAACAAGCCCACTCCCACATATTAATCATTAATGATTATCGCGACACTTCTCGGGTCAATTTAAGGAAGTCTGGATGATAATGATGATGATTTGGACTCACCTTGAAATACAGACACAATATCTTTAAAAAGATATTGATAGTGATAAACTATCGATAGACTGTAGGAGGCCTGTGTGTGCAGCTTTCAGGTTAGACACTAACAAACCACCGGCTAAATGACAACACATGAACATCAGGGTTACAGGTACAACCTTATCTGACAGGAAAACAAAAACACAGAGGACATACTGTGAGACACATGCTGTGTTTTGCACATCAGCAGCTTCGTGTGTCACTCTGCTCAGTATGCACCATGCTCCCCTCCCAGCTCCAGGATCCCGTTTACAACCCCATCACTCCTGTCTTAAAATGGTGCCCATCATCCACCACCATCCTCACTGCAGCATCCAGCCACCGGCAACACTAACCACGTTTTAGGAATCGTGGCAGCGCCACACCGCCGGTTCCCCCCCACTGCATAAAAGCTGTCAATACACCGGTACTCACGCCGTGTTTCTCGGTCCCCTGGAGGCGGCTGGGAGGCAGGGAGCAGCCCGGACTCGCTCCGGCTCGTCTGCTAGAGGCAGTGTCGCAGCACCGTTGTGTGGAATGGAGGAACAGTGCGTGTGTGCGGCGGCGGCAGCCCCTGATTTCTCTCGCTGGCCATTTTGAAAGAGCTCACACAGGCAGCAGCGATCTGATGACACTGCGCTTCCTCACAGGGCTGCTGCTCGTAGCTTCACGGGCTGGTACCCCTCCCCCAGACAACCCCCCACCCACCTCACACTCTCCAGGTGAAACAGGAGATTCAAGTTTAAATACACACATGTGTGGTTTCAAAAATAAATAAATAAAGATGGGACAGCGAGGGGGTTTAAGCCACAGCCAGGCAGCAGACTCAGAAGCTAGCTAGCTAGCTAGCGGGGCGGGGGGAGCATCACGCCTGCACGGTGCTCCACTGACACCGTGTCCGGTGAAGGAGAGACGAACCACGTTGTTTCGTGTTGTGTCACTGTCCCGCTGACATTAGCATCTCTCTGGGTTCAACTGCCCAGCTAGCCCCGGGTACCTAGCTCCAGTTAGCTTCAGAGCTAATACCGTTCCCTCCTCCTCCTCCTCCTCCTCCTCCTCCTCGGGGTTTAGCCTGATATCTGACGAGCCATCACCGCTGGTGCAGAAACCATCTCGTCAAAAATAAAAAAAATAAAATAACAACAGGGTGAAACTTGTGCTAACATCTCGTGAGGCCTTCGACCCGCTCGGCTCCACAGATAATGTCCCTTTAAAGCAGCACACGCGCGGGTTAAGCAGCCTTTCTACACCTGTGTCCGTCGAACTGTTCATTATCTAATGTCGCTTTTTCAAACAGGGGAGTTTAATGGACTCTGCTACCTGGCTGAGCTAGCCCAGCCAGCGTTAGCCTCCCAGTCCAGTTCGATGCCCCCGGTAACAAATGAACCAGAAATCAGCGTTAAACGAGTCACACCGACAAGAGTGCGTGTTTCAGGGCCGCGGGGCTCGCCGGGCTGTCGGTGTGCGACAGCTCCGGGGTGTATTTACCTTCAGGGTGGGATATTCTTGGACTTTGAGAGCCATGGACAGCTGAGATGCTGTCTCCTGCACCGCCATCTTGGTTTTGTGGTTCTCTTGTGGTTGTTTGTGTTTTTTTTTTTTTCTCCATCAACTCAGAATGGCCTCAGCGCTCACTACCGCCACCTGGTGGGACGGTGTCAGCACTGCCAGAGCGGAGGTGAGATTCACACAGATGGTTTTGATTCAAGATGAGAAACAATATAAAATCTAAACTAACTCTTATTTTCATTTATTGGTTCATTGATTGATCATTCTGTTGGTAAAAGATAAAACAAATTGAAAAATGGTCATTAAAATGTTCAAGAGTTTTCATATTTCTTTTTTTTGGTCTAAGGACAAATAACATGAATGATTATCTGTTGGTCGACTGTGACTAATCATTGTAGCTGTAGTTCAATTTAAAAAACATTGACTTTTGATCCACACTTGTCTCCTAATGTATTTATCAGCGTTACTTATTTCAGTTCATAAACCATGTGGACCAGTGTGAGCGCGCCCACGTTTCTATGATAAATACTTTGGTGCCCAGGACTAACAAGCCACATCCAAACATTTCATAATAAAAATCACTGCAGACTACAGTGTATAATGCAGGAACTCAAACTTGTACTGAATATTGAAATCCTGGTGTTGGTGAGGACACAATAAAATCAATCATTAGTTTGAATTCTGTTCATTCATGTGTCTGGTAAAAAGTTCAAAACAGTTACCTAAAATAAAATCCCTGACAACTACGGTAGAAATAACACAACAATATTTTCTCACCACTAATGATGAACTCACACACACACTGGCTCCAGATCAGGTCAGGATTTCTTCTCCTGTGTGGGTGGGAGCGCCCGGCCCCCTGCTGCGGTGAACATGTTGCCATTGGCCCCTGTCCCATGGCCGAGCCGTGCTGATTGGCTGGCACAATTTGTAATCGCTTATAATTGGCCCATTATCTGCTGCATGTCCCACACACCCCTGCACCCCCCACACAGCTTTAGAACAAAGTGGAACAGTGGACACACACCGAGAGAGAGAGGAAGGTGATGCAAGGTTTGTGATGTATTTCTTGCCCCATATCGAGTGCTTCCTGTGTGTGTGTGTGAGAGTGTGTGTGTGTGTGTGTGTGTGTGAGTGTGTGTGTGTGAGTGTGTGTGTGTAAGTGAGCACTGCTGCTGTTAGTAGAGATAACTGCACCAACTCAAATAACAGGGGAACTGAAAGCGTGTGTGTACTTATGGTGAGAAGGTGTTTGTTTGTGACTGTGTGAATATGTGACTGTTTACTTTTGTTTATGTGTGTACAGTGTGTGTACAGTGTGTGTACAGTGTGTATACAGTGTGTGTACAGTATGTGTACATTGTGTGCACAGTGTGTGCACAGTGTGTGTTTTGTGACGGGAGGATGGTTATTAAATGTTGGAGCAATTTCTTGAATCTAGAAAATCAGCGAGTCCTTAATTTAGACAGATCACAACATCTGAAGACGTCTATTTGAGATTTAGAAACTTTAGATTTTTAAAAATAATTTTCTCTTATATTATTTTATAACCAAACTCTAAATCAACAGCACATTATTGATAATTAAAAATAGTAAAGTTGGTTTTAGCACTAAAATACACACTGAGAAAGTGGAGTATGTCATCAAAGAAGAGTGAAGAGAGAGACGGCTCACCATGATTTTCTCATCTTGAGATTCCAGCGGCCACCTTTTTATCTTTAAACCTCCATCTTCAATATTAACACCTTAAACCATGACATTTTATTGACAACAGACAATATTCAGTGAATTTTCAGCATCTTACTTTTTGTGAAATCATTGATTCTTCATCCTCACCCTTCTCCTCCTACTCTGCTTCTCCATTAAACCCCCTCATTTCCTCATATCTCATCTACCCTTCCACTCGTCTTTCCCACCCACCTGCTCCTCCTTCCTGCTCTCTCCTCCTCCTCCCTCCTCTCCTACACGTGGGTTAGACACCTCATGCCTGCAGTGCTCGTCTCCTGCTATGGTAGATTAGATTGCTAGTCTACTCTACTCTCTCTGTAGCGGCGTCCACATTGTTCTGCAGCTCTGTCAGTATCCATATATCCAAGTCAATGTCTGTTTATGTGCTTGCGTCTGCACGTCTTTTCAGCTTGTGTGATTGCTGCCATGTGTGTGTTGCTGCAGTACATGTTGTCACTGTGTGTGTGCAGACATCCACGTGTCTCTTGCATCTCTGTGTTGTGCAAACGCGCTTTGTTGCAGCTGCCTTGTTGCAGCTGCCTTGTTTTACAACTTCTGTGGCTTTCTCGATGCACACGCTTGTATCTTGTGCATGTGCATGTATCTTAGTTGTTATATGTGTATGTACGTGTGTACACGTGTGTGTTTGTGTTTGCGATAGCTCTAGGTCTAGCAGGCTGTCAGTCTTGATAAGGCCAGCAGTTGGGAGGCATTAGGTCGGGGCTGCTGCTCGCCTGGCCTCCGCGTGGTGGATCTGCTGAGAAGGAGCTGAACCATTAGACACGCTGCAGTGACTACAGAGAGAGAAGAGAGGGGGTGGGGGTGGGGGGTTGTGTGAAAGCCCACGATGGAAAAAGAGAGTGAAAAGAGAGATGTAGGAATGAGAACGGAGTGGAGGGGTGAGGCAACGTGATGGAGTGCGAATGAGATCGAGAGAGAGAAGACAGAGCGCAAGATGAGCAGATGGAAGAGCAGGAGGTAAAAAGATGGAGAAGGGAGGGAGAGGGTGGCGACAAGCAGACAGAGGAGGGGAGATGTGGGAGGAAGGTGGACGGGGAGGGAGATGGGGTGAGGAGTGGAGAGGTTGGGGAGATGGAGGAGGAGAGAAACTGAAGAGGAGGGGGACAATGAGTGTGTAGTGATACAGGGGAGGAGAGGGTGTGACTGTTAATGTCCACCCTCTCACAACGACACATGTGAACATCCGTGCTGGTTCACACACACGTGGAAGAGCGAACGGAGCAGTTAAACACCGTGAGGCTGGGATTCTTGTCCTCCGTCCCCTCTCGTCTTTTCTGTCTCTCATTAAATATTCTGTCCATAGTTTCCCCGACTCTCTTCCTCTTTTTGGATTTAAGCTTCTCGCCCACTGGCCGTTTGTGACATTTACCAATAGCGAGGATGTGACGTAACCACCATCGCTGTTAATTGGGTTAGGCCCCGGCAGTTTGTGGGACATCTGACGCTGCTTCACTCACTGTGGTTATCAAGTGGTAGAGTGATGAGGAGAGTGAAACATCACCTGTGCAGAAGTCTGAGCAGGTGTTCACCAGACTGACGCTCCGAGATGAAGCGCTGACACTCACACGAGCAAAAGTGTCTGATTACTGAGGCAATCTGAGGCCAGCTGTATTTATACAAGTGTAATAATACAAGACGTTCATACATGAATACTACATAATAATACACAAACTCAATTCATTTCTATCAGACTGTTGCAAAAACTCGATTAAATTATGGAATCATTCACATGAATAATCAGTTTATTGCCTGTTTGATAATTTTTTTAGAGGCCACAATATTGTGCACACAT